GTCTGAAATGGTATGGTCCCCAGAGGGTTGGATTAGAAGACCTCCGAGGTCCCTATTATCCTATATTATTCTATGTACTCACCCTAAATAAGCTGACTTATTTACATTAGTTTGTCTAATTTGAATATGGACTGCTGATTGATGGAATGCTCTGTAATTGTGTAGCCTATGGTATAGTCTTTGTCTTGCTTTCTTCATCTTCACAATCAATTGGTATGGGTATATTTCTGTCCTCATAGTAAAGCCATACTGTATATACTGTTGTAGAGTACTGCTTTTAGGCAAGATTTATGTCAGTTTTCCATATTGTCAAATATAACTGTTTTTCTATTGACTCATATAAATGTTTTGTTTCTAATCTATTTTTCCACTTTGGCTTAAATCTCTTACTTAAAAATAAACCTTTTATGACACACATGAAGGATGTTTACAAGAACTGGGCAGTTATTAATAAAAAATATACTGAGGAAAAAGGACACGATAGGGTGTTATTTAATTTAAACAAACTTCGGCTTCATTATAAACAGTAAAGACGTGTCTTGATCTGAAAGAGGATGTAGTAGGTTAAAATATAAGATAGTTCATGCAATTTGATAAAAAACAAATATGTATAAATTATTACTTGGATTCTAATTATAGATCCTTGCCAGGTATTGAAGAAACGGCGGAAACAGAGACACAACAGCACTAATTCTGCTCTGTTATGCTACTTGGAAATCCCAGCACCTCAAGTGTGAGAAACTCACTGCTGTAAAATCCACCAAACAAAGAAGAAAATCTGCCTTCTTCTTGAACATATTTTCACATATTCAAGGGTTTGCTTTTGATGTTGGTTGTCAAAATGGTTTACTAAAATCAGAATGACTCCAGCTGCACACATCTTAAAAATTAGTCCTAGTTCCTTGGCCTTCAAAGATGGAATTGATTATAAAATTGCCATTTGGCCTGATAGACTTTATTTGGTCCTTTTATCAAGTTTACATAACCTAAATGGGATGCAAAGTATTCAGCTGACCTTGGAAATGTTATTTCCAACATCCTTTTAACTGAAATCCATAGTGACTTTAAAAATCATAAAAAATAAAGATATTAATACACGACTTGGTTAGCAGTCATTAACAGATATTATGCAGACATTTTTTTAAATATTCTTAAATACAGAAATGGAAGTGAAATTTACTAGTGCAAAAACCCAAGCATAAGAAACCCAAGAAAAGGAGTAAGAAATACCTTTTGCCTCTTTTCAGATATATAGCTGCTTGGAAGATTTGACTATCATCTTTTTCTGCATCTTCGTTAAAAACACCTTTGTTTTATTAGTTCAGCCTCCTTGGCACGTAACATTTTCCATACAACTTTAAGAGAGGAAGGAGAGTACCACCAAATATGGTACTCTATGTGCAAATATAAGTTTGAACACCTAATAGATTTTTTAAAAAGTTGTCTTGTTCTCATCATACACACAAACCACACACACTGAGGAGATTGTGTTTCTTTTTGTAAGTTAGAAGAGTTTGATTTTAAGCTACTTTTTTATGTCTACTTTGCTGCTGTTATGAGAACTAATTTGATCTAATGATTAAGGCACCAGGCTAAAAAACAGGAAACTGTGAGTTCTAGTGCCATCTTAGCCACGAAAGCCAGCTGGGTGGCCTTGGGCCAGTTCCTGTCTCTCAGCCCAACTCACCTCACAGAATTGTTGTGGGAAAAATAAAAGGAGAAAGGTGTGTAGGATATGTCTGCCACTTTGACTTATTTGTAAAAATAGTAAGAGCAGGATATAAACAAATACATAAATAAATTTACAATATTGAAAAAATGGGGAAAAGATTGAAGAAGCTGTTTGAATGTTACACAAACTTCATAATATTTATTACTATTATGGTTATGCTCCATTTCTCAGACTTTAAATGTGCAAGGGACTGTAAATAATTTTGGCTTAGCTATGAACTTACCTCAAATTGTGTCCTCATTTGTAAAATAATATTTTATTTTAGTGGATTGCTTCTTATAAGGTCAAATGAGACTGGAGCCCCAAAATAATTCCACTCATGAGTCTAAATCTCTTATTTGAAGAGTAAACTGTAAAAAATGAGCTAACAGAGCCAAATGGGAGAAACACTGTGACTATTTAACCTCATGCTTTGAAAGAAATTATCAAGATTATTTTCACCAAATATAACTTTTTTAATCAATTTCAGAATTGATTTTTCAAGCATACAGAAAAGCCCAAATCGTTTCATTGTTTGCATGATGGGAGCAGTACAACTTTAGAAAAAACAACAACAACAAAGTTGGACCTGGATTTATGCTTGAGTTTCTTCTTAAAAAGAACAGCTTAAGAAATCTACACTGCGAACAGCAACCGAAGAACACAATATATATCAGGAATTTCTAATGAAGAGAAAAGGGTAACAGACAAGGGACAGTAGACAACAAAACAGTAATGACTTGTTATTGCTGGAGAATATTATTCTACTTTCTATCTTTACATTCTTTCAGTTAGTAGGATATCTAAACACGGCAGTTAAATACTATTTTATAGTAAACAAGAGTTGAGCCTTGGAAATTCCACAGGAATGATTTTCTGTTATGGAAGCAGGCAGCGGGAAAGACTATGTACAATGGTAGCAGGAGGGGAAGGTTAGATTGCTATGTGAGAAATACAAGCTTTAATAAAAAATGAGGACAGACAGAAATAAAAGAACACTGCAAATTCTGCAAAAAGCAAAAACCGAATCAAAACAACAAATAAAACAAAAAGCATACTCCGGAAAAGTATGTGATAGCAGAAGTTGTAAATTTTTGCCAATTCAAATAAGCAGCATTGTTGCATAATGGAAGGGATTTTTCAATGGTCAAAATTCAAACCAGAAAGAAGAAAGGCAACACAGAGTTTATATGCTATATATTGATCTCTTTGTTTTTCATCTTGCCAAGAATTGTGTGAAGCCTTCTCCCAACAGCACTTCTGGAGTATATTTAGCGACTAAAGCTGCAGAGTGCACAAATGTCACATTCCCATGAGTAAAATCCATTTAATTAGCCCCTCCTTCTCAAGATAAATTCCCATGAGATGTTTGCGTAGAATTGAAAAGCTGAACATATGGATGTGACATCATCAAGGCATCAGTGGCATTGGAAACAAAGCAGCAAGTGACTGAAGAATTAGTACAATTAAAGGCATGTCATTTTTGAAGTGTGTGAAACAAAGTAAAGGAAAGCACCTTTCACAAGAATAACAAAACAAAATGAACCAAATCACCAACAAAGCATTTTGCAAATCAAAGATTCAAGGCATGAAAAAAAAAATATTTGCAAGAAAATAAATCCCCAACCAAATTAAACACACACAGAAGATTAAGCATAACACTCTCTTTAGAAAGTGTTTAATGTCTCTTTCCTTTGCCCTTGAACAAGGAATAAGCTGCAAGTGATTTGGGGTGTGCAACATATTGTTTGTTTTGTTGCAAATGGATCTGAGGTGGGCAAAGGAAGGAAGAAGAGCACAGAGATATGTGATAATGGTAAACAACCATGCAGACACCTCTGCCACCATTGTTTGCTTGCTTTAACGTGTACAGACTGCTTCCAGCTTTGTTAATATTCCTAATTAGACCCCAAAGATTCCATGGTATTTAAATAAGCAAGTTAAGTTCTGACAAATTCCCTCTGGTAATTTCATTCAGAGAATTTCAAGTCAAAATAATTATGATCCAATCAGCTTTCCACTTATGATAAATTGATCAAAGACTTGGAATTTGGAAGTGAAAAGTAAATAGCCTGTCCATTAAGACAACTGCTGTAATATATATATATATATATATATATATATATATATATATATATATATATATATATATATATATATATATATATATATATAAAAACCACATAGAACAAGATGCTTTTATCAATTTTCTAACTGTTATCTTTTAAATGTAGAGACTGAGCAATTGGTTGAAGCTACCTGTTAAGAAGCATTACTGAATTGGTGAGGCAGATTATTTTCATGATCTGAGCATTTTTGATTCTGTATCATTCCATTTGAAAATTAGCAGTTTCTTTTCATTAAGAGTAAGGTTGAAGTTAGTAATTGATGCATCCAAAAGCCCCCTTTTGCCATTAAATACTTGCTCTTTCGTGACTACCCCATTCTAGCTTTTAATGAAAAATATTAATCACATAAGATATACTGCTGCCTTATGGATTACCTGCCTGAAAAGGAATATGCTAATGTACCTGATAATTCACTTAGTGGACAACTTAAAGAGCTTAAAAACTTAATACAACTCTGAAACTGAAATTTAAAAAGCCAACAGAGAAAAGACCCCCTCTGCTAAATTAACTACAGATAAAGAAAAGCCCAACTAAAGTGGCATTTTACTGTAGCCATTCATCAGCAACTCTGTTTAATTCCTTCAAGCACAATCTGCTCAGAAAATTTCTTTCAAAATGAATGGAGACACTTCAAGCTGAATATCATTTCAGTTGAATTTGAATCATGGAAGCTCTTGTAGATTGCACCTTTAATATCAAATGATTTTTTTTAATGTTACTTCATGGGTTGAACTTGCTTTGCTGCTTAAACTAATTAAAAATCAAAAGTACTTTTACTCCACTGGAAGTGCAAGTGGGGATTAATGTAAAGCCAAGACTTATATGTTATCACCATCACTGTTTTCATCACTATTACTATCTGAGCTTAATTAAACCTTCCAATCTTGTATAAAGACATGCTCAAACCTATAATCTTGCATTTGTTTTGTGTGGTTTTTCATTGCCACTGAATGGCTAGAATAAAATTTATTTTTAAATAAATAATTTTAAATTATTTTTTAAAAATGGTTCATTTTGATGTGTTTGTGTATGTGTGTGATATACTTTTAATAGCAGAAGAAGACTTTTACTTCATGGTACTGGGCAGTAGCTGGAAGCAGTTACACTGAAGTCAATCCCCGCCCTTGCTCCCACAGGAAGAATGATTTCCAAGGCCTTACCCTTTTTCTCTTGGTGATTATGGGACGAAACAGCCACATATGGATTGGTATTCTCAGATGAGCCAATGTGATCCTTCCAATTTAGTACGTGCCCTCCAGCATCATAACCCTGTTGGGCTGGAGAATCTGAAGTAGACATGCTGGGAAGTAGCGAACTGGAGTGTCCTGTTTGCACCATAAATACAGTTAAGGATAGTGAGAACAAGCAGTTTGGTAGCAAGCAACATTTCTAAAGGTATTTGTATAGCCAGATCAAGGAAGGAATGTGCACTCTTGTAAATCAAAACTCTGCTCTCAGGACAACATCTGACAGAAAAACAAACAAACAAACAAATAAATAAACTGGGCCATCGTCTTTTGCAGAAGATTTTCAACTTAAATAAAGGACTACATAAAAATTGGCCGTTCTGGTTCCACTTATGCTTGGTTTGGCATAAATAGTACAATTTATATATTTGATTTATATCCTGTCTTGCCATGCTATCAGATGATAAAGTAGAATTGAAAAAAAATATTTATTTTTAAATATATAAATAATATGATTAAGAAAGCGACTGACTCTACACAATTCCGGGTGGCTTATCTTTTTAAAATCAGGAAACAATAAAATAAGAATGCAGGCCACCAATTCCCCAAAGGAAACTGTACATAACAGACCAAAAAAAAAAAAAAAAAAAAAAATCCACAGTGGCTCACTAATCACTGGGAGAACAGCCAAGGGGGGAGCCATGTGGCTCTCTAAGAGGATTCTATTGCACAGATTTAAGTAAAAAAAAAAAAAAAAAGCTTGAGCTGTATCTTTTAAACAATAAAAGAGGCCTCGTATGGTTCTTTCTAAAAAGTAGGTTCTAGAGCTGTTGCAGCCCATCATAGAAAATGCCTTCAAATGAAATGTGGTGGAGGATTAAGCCAAACAATCTCACGAAATACAAGTTGAGAATAAAGATCCAATCAATGTAGCCAGATTCTACTTAAAAGTGACTTATCCTCAAAAAACAACAAAAGCCAGCAGAAGGTCTTATGAATTGGGAGCACCCATCTCCTTTTGCCACCTATCCTCCACCCACTGGAAATCAAGTGCTGCAGTTGGTATTGTAATCGATACATAACAACATTTTCAAAGTTGAGAGATTTGCATCAACTGGAATAAAACATTACAATGAAAGGTAGACAATGAGATTTTATTTTGCAGATGAGACAAACATAGAATACAGTACTGGACATAAAGACTACTTGAAATTTCTGGACTGAATAATGATTCTTTTTCACATCCAGTGCAAAACTCATTTAGCTAATGTGCATTCTTGGTCTTAATCTCAGTAATACGAAGTGATATGGCTTGCTTTGGGATGATCAGGCCCTACATCTGTTATGGGAAGTCCAGTGGACTAAATAATACTGAGTAGAGAGGAGCAAAGGAGCAAAGCTATACTGTAGGTAACTTAAGGACAAAGGGGGAGGATGTCAAACAAACCAGCAGGATTTGTAAAGTTATCAGTCAGGTTCTTTATAGTTTCCAAAAATCTTTAGGATAAAGCTGGTACTAACTGAAGCCCAAAATATCTGAAGCACCAGACTGCTTATCCCTGCTTTACAGAACTGATATTAATGCTTCTCATACAATTCATATAAGGTTTTTTTTTTACAATTAAAGAACTCTTGCCATTCCTGATGTCTGAACTAGATAAAGGAAATCAAGTCAGATTCAAAGAGTTTCTTTTTGGCTACAGTCATAAGGAACAAAACTTAAACCCTGATATAATGGGTTTATAATTGTTTTTCACCTGGAAATCACATCGACAAGAGCACTACATTATTCTATATCACTAAGTCTAATTTCTGAGTCTAGTTTCATCAGCTCGCCATTAATACTGGTCTCAGAACTGATATAATTGGACTTTACAGAATATTAAACTATTATATAACTATAAAAATTATAATTTTTTAAATATAAAAATGGGGAGCTACAGAAAATAAACTTCATATTATTTATCTACAAGTCATTTGGAAACATAATTCAAAGATAATTGCAAAGGAGGAACTGAATCTTGGCTTCAGGCCTTAGTTACTATTTAAAAAAAAACGTGACTTCTATGTAAGTGGGATTACTGCAACTAATATCCTTAAAATTGAACCTCATAGAGATCCTTTCAGAGGGGGGAGTATAGGTTGCATGTGACCAAACATCTCTCAAGATTGCCTACAAATACAGAAGGAATGTTGTTTTGATATCAGAGTGATTAAAAAAGGGTCCTTATGCTGAATACCAGTTTCATGTTCATCCCATAAAATGTTGTGGGTTTTTCACTCAGCCTTCTCTGAACTGATTCTGTGAAGTCCTAACATTTGTTTACATCTTATTTATCTTTAAAAGGGATGTGGTTCTCAGCACAAGAAAGCAATTGTTTCCAAAATAATTAGAAATGCATGTGGCTCTTGACAAATAGTATTTATAGTTTATATCTAGTTTTGATATTCATTTTGCTCTACATTCAATATAGAAGTCTTCAGTTAGCCAAGATCTATGGATGATTTTATGTTTAATCTGTTCATATAGTTAATGTGATAATCTAGAGGAAATATTTCCTTCTGAGACAAACCATGTGCTTCAGCTTTATGCAGAATTCAGTGATAATGGAAAACTATAACTATATAAAGGAAGTAATGGATACCAGATGGTAGCAGAACTAGAAAGAGCTGCATAGAAATAAGGTTTTCCCTCTGTTATTAATACATTAGGGCCTATGTGGAAAATTATAATACCTAAGAAATCTTGGCAAATGTTAGAGTCCAAGTAAACAAACAAGGATTTTCATTTCCAATCTGGAAAGTTGCCAGGGAGATTTGGTTATTAATAGGTAAGTGATTATAGTTTTATCCTGAATCACACAAGAAACAGACACTGTGAAATAATCCAATTTAGAAATAGTGTGGAATGTTTTACTGGACTGCTTGGGTTAGATAAAGGATTTCTAATGGTTGCTTTAAACTTTGAGAGACTTCATATTGAATATGACTTACCTACAATATTCACTTGGCAACAGATGCAATTGAAACATTGTAAACTTTTTGATTAACTGGTATAATCTGGGTGGTTTAAGACACTTCAAGCTACCTGCAGTTATAGGATGCTTAAGACAAACAGAGTTTGAATGGTAACTAACAATTTAATTTTATAAAGAATTTAAAAAGTAAAATGAAAGTTAATAGTTATATATCTCAGTGGTAGAATGAAAAATTAAAATACCCAATTTTGGAGAATCAGTTGGTGCAGGTGTGAAGAAATATGAGATATACTTTTTCTGATTTAAAAATGAGAGTAATTTATTAGAAAATATTTCATATTTACTGGAGGCCCTCAAAGAATATTTTGGGCATTCGGTCTCTAAAAGGTTTGCCATCACTGGCCTAGATTTACTGATAAACATAAGGATTAAATCCAAAACTCCCCTTGGCAGTTTTTTTAACTGGCCACCATTGATCTGGCTTTGCATTAGCAAGCTATTTCTTTTGGCTCATCCTTGGGTTAACACAAAACTGCGATATTCATTATTTATATGCATTTCTATGTAGCACATAAGAAAATACTTATTGCCAAGTCAGATCACAATTCACTGAGCAAAATACTGATAACAGAAACAACTTTTTAAAGGATTTTAAACAAATATATTGAGTCCTTAAATGGTTTAACATATGTTTGGCTACTGATTTATACTTTTACATCTTTTATGATACAGTTACATTGTGTAAATTTCAGGCTATAAAATATACAGGTAATCCTTGACTTACGACTACAACTGAGCCCAAAATTTCAGTTGCTAAGCAAGACATTGATTAAGTTAGTTTTGCCCCATTGTACAACTTTGCTTGCTGCAGTTAAGAAAATTATTGCAATTGTTAAGTTAGCAACACAGTTGTTAAGTGAATCTGGCTTCCCCACTGACTTTGCTTGTCAGAAAGTTACCAAATATGATCACATGACCCCAGGACACCTGCAACTGTCATAAATATGAACCAGTTCCCAAACAGCTAAATTTTGATCACGTGATGAGAACGCTACAATAGTGTAAGTCTGAAAAAGGTCATAAGTCACTGTTTTCAGTGCCGCTGTAACTTTGATCACGAAATGAATTGTTGTATGCAATAGTGGCGAGTATCTGTAGCTTGGGTGTAGGATGAAAGTGAAGGTTCGTTCGCAGAGCTTGTGGGTTGGTTTCCAAATGTTTCATTACCAGGCTAGGTAACATCTTCAGCAGAGTTCAGGGGATGTCAGTGTTCTTCCTCACACAGAAGAACACTTATATCCCCTGAACTCTGCTGAAGATGTTACTTAGCCTGGTAACGAAACATTCAGAAACCAACCCACAAGTTTGGAGAACAAACTTTCATTCTCAAACTGTTGTATGTTGAGGACTACCTGTAATCCCTCTGTAGCATAGAATTATTACTTGCAACTTTCAAGATGTAGCTTGAAAGGTGTCCATGGAGTCCTTTTTACTGTTTGTTAGTTATTTGTGGAATACAACAATACAATTTATATAGTTCAGTAGTACAGTAGTATACAAAAGAGAAATTAGATTTTGTTAGAGCACTGAAAGGTAAGGATTTGGAAAATTTATGAGAAGGTAGTTAGTATATGTTGCAAGATGGCAGATATTCAGGTGCCCAATGCATTATTTTGTTAAGTGACTACAGCAACTAAAGGAACTAAATAAGTTAAATTATTGGTGCAGAGGTAGGGAAGATGTAAATGTATCATGAAGGCTTGGTTCACTAAAACTGATGAAGATAAGAACAAAGTCTTAAAGGAAAAAAAGCCTTTTGTATCCTTCAGTTCATATGCACATGCAGTTGGCTTCTTAACAAAAGAGGTACTGTATTTTGCTCAGCTAGCACAGTTTGGACGTGGGAAATCATTATGCAGAAAAGGTCAAATGTGCAGCTTTTTTACTTGTAGCAAAGTTTTATAAATATAAAAAAACTACTGGAGTTTGATCTTCCAGTGGAGAGGCCAAAATGAGATTTAATGAGCAGGGAAGTGACTATAGCGAGCAAAGATATCTATGTGTTGGGCATTTGGAAATATGCTAAATAAGATTTATGTGAATGTTTACTCAAACAGACATAATTTCTTTATTACTTAAATAATTTTTTGCTTTTACATGGTTGAAATAGAAAAAAGTATTTACAAACAAAACAATTGCATGTTGGATATCATAAATGGATTTATCTTATGAAGGGAAATAAGCTAACTGAATTTAGTGATATTTACTTCTTCTAGCTGTATTATTACACTATAGGATGACTGCCAATATTGTGATATTGTGCATTATTATACAAGAAAAGAGCTTGAAAAATTAAAAAAATATTTTTACTTAAAAATAGTTCTGAATGAATGCTGTAAGAGATGGGAAAAAGTTGTTTTAAGGATTGGGATCAATTCAACTCATTAAAGCATCCATGCCTTTTTTCAGGCTTACATTGAAACCTGGAAAAAAATGTATCTGCTTTGATTATAGGTGCTAATCTTAAGTGACAAAGCAATTTTTCCAAAGTGGTTTTGAAATGTGTGCAACTATAATAATTTTAATTTTGGCAAGTGATCAGAATGGTGGTTGAAATTTCATCTGCTGCCAACAGTTCAATGGCCAAAATTAAAAAACACATTGTCTTTCTTGACTGAGGTGTTTCCTCTCTTGTTTTGGGATCATAGTTGTATTTTTTCTTTTATGCAATCATCTGCTAAGAATTATTTGATGCCATATCTATTCAGCTAGCCTTGGGGAAGTTGCAATGCCATATGAGAATAGCTGTATTGTCTGCTCCTCCCTAAAATTAATTGTTTCAGTTATATATTTGTTTCAGAATTTGGAAAAAAATTGACAAAATACTTTTTTTCTGGCCAGAATTTTTAGTAAAAACCTGTTTACAAAATCCCACAGTGTAGGAAGAGATGCTAGATTCAACTGAATGCATACTATGAATTTTGTGGCAATAAACTACAGACAGTAACTCCAAATGATATGAATTTGTTATTTGGGAAGAAATATTTATATAATGTTTACTAAAAATATGAATTATTATGCATAATATGTTAGTTAAAAAGTACAGTTCTAAGGGGAAAGTTGCAAACACTGGAAATTTTTAAGAAGAAACTGGACAGCCATTTGTCCAAAATGGTATAGGGTTTCCTGCCTGAGCAGGGGGTTGGACTAGATGACCTCCAAGGTCCTTTCCAACTTTATCATTATTATTAAGAATTACTCTTACTCCTCCCCCCTTCACTTCCCATGTTTTTGTCCTAAACATATGCTTTTGTGGTCTGGGAGACATCCTGGATGTATACTGATTTTTTGAAGATTGTTCTCTTCAAAAGTTGGGACTTCTAATTAAATATGTTGAATAAATGAATAATGTAACTGCATGTTGTGTTGTCTATGTCCTCCAAATTGTCCTTTTAATTGAATTACACTAACTTGATTTGGTTCTATCCACTTAGTTCTATTACCTTTGCTGCTTGTCTATGGTTCATCCAGATATTTCCAACCTGGATGTTGTAACATATCTCCCCACTTTCGGGTGACTTTGAGTCACTGTTGACTCCTGGAAACTACCTGGACTAGGCATTTTTGGAAGTGGTTTGCCACTGCCTTCTTCCCAGGGCTGAGATGAACTGAATAGCCCAAGGTCAGCCAGCTAGCTTTGTTCCTAAGGCAGGAATAAAACTCAGTCTCCTGGTTTCTAGTCTGGTGCCTTAACTACTACACCAAACTGGCTGTCATTGTAGCCCTAGTACTAGTCAAACAAACAGCTTTTATAAATGGCTACCTTATTTGTGTACTGTGTACGATAAACCTTTTGGGTACAAGCAGTTTAAAAGCAAAATGTCATAACTGAACTGCTGTTTATCCAAACTATACAAGACTCAAACTGTTCTTCTTTTCAACATTCAGTATTCTCTTAATGCTGCTGTTTGTTTGAGCATACAATGTAGACAAATATATTCATAATAATACATTGACCAACCAGTACCTAGGAATAATTATATTTCAAAATTCTTCAAGTGTCGGCTGTATTGCTAGGCCTAGGGATTCCGTGTGGCTGGAGACCTGCTCAGATGACTCCATTGTTGAGGTGGCTATTTTTACCCTCCCTCTCCTGTGGTTTGTATTTTCACTTTTATGATATTTATTAATAAGGATTTTGTTTTGTGTATGATTCTTATTGATTTTTATTCACCACACCGAGATACCTTGATTGAGATAGGAAGCTCTAGTAATTTGATAATTAATTAATTAATTAAATAAATATATGTCATGTATTTTAATATTCATTCCTTGTATACAAATCCTTTTTTATTTTGCCTTTTCTATCCCGTACAAAGGATTCTGGACCAACATCACAAAATATTTTGATTCGGTTCCATAAATTGTAATACTTTTAACTGTATCAAAGTATCAATTCTGACCCGTTTGAATGCTGAAAAATATTGTATTTCTAATCCCTAGGTCTTGCTCTGGAGAATAAAGCTGCCACTCTTTTAGAGATTGAATTAAAAAAAAATTGGGGGTGGGGGGTGGGGAGGGTTTCCAAACATTTGAATTTCTAAGATACGTGGCTTGAATTTACAGTAAGTTCAGTGGAAGATTTCCAATTGGGAAATGGCTAATATAATTTAATAATTCAAGGGTTAATGGAATTTTGTATCAGTTTAGTGAACTAGGCCACAAAATGGAAATGATAATATCTGCTGTAGGATCAAAACTAATATAATGACAAGGAACTGAACAAAGATTATTTGAAAAATGCATAAACTGACCATACACTGTAGTGTAAGACATTATATGGTCTATGAAAAAAAATTGCACAATGTTAAAAAATATGGAAATATTGGACAAGTTTATAAACATGATTCATTTGAAACTGATCTGCACAGACAGGTATTCATACAAAATTATTAGGGAATTTCCTTACCATTCAGTGCTACGAACGAATCTGAAAAAAGAAAAAGGAGAGGGGAGGAAAAGGAAAAGGAGGGGGAGGGAAAGGGAAAGAATTATTTTGAATATCATTACATTCTCTTTCCACAGGTACTAATTTACATACATCCTTGCTACTGTTTGGTGATCTTTTGACAACATCCAGTCCTGAAATCAGCCTATCAGAATGGATTTTGTCATAACTTTTAAAAATATTGTTTACTGTACTTAAAAAAAAAAAGCTGGAGGGGAGGTAGTTTTTAAAGAGAAGCATAAGGATCCTGAATTAAGCAATGGATCCTGCATTTGAGGAGAACTTCTATTTGACTGCAGACAGCGGGAAAATCATTACTACTCCTCAATCTCAGACAGAAATTCCTTAGGAAGATTAGAATCAGTGCCTTATATATGTTATACACTTCTTCTTGGATCAGTACCTAAAAGTTTTCTTCCATAATGTATCTTCTTATTTTATAAAGAGATCATTAAAATGCTAGCTTCGATGGGATTCTGTACTGAGGATTGTTACTCTTAAGTTTACACATTTCTGTTTTAACATTTCAATATTAAAATATTGAAATTATCCATTTTACCACAATTGCTGTATCTACAACATTCCCTTGGCATGATCAAAGTTAATTTTATGAGAAACAGCACCTGCAATGTAGCAGATCATCTAAATATAAAGGAATGCTTGTACATTAGATGGGCCATTTAGGCCTTCAAAACAAACATACTGCTTTTGCAGTCCTAATTACTGTAAATCATATAGTGTAATTCTGTAGCACCTAAAACTGAGATATCTCTCAACCCCAGCAAAGAGAATTCTATTCTCAGATATTCCTTCTGTTCTGTGAGCTTTCAAAGGGCTGATGTTCCAAGAATATGCACTTTCCAATCAAGGCAGAAATACATATCAGATTGAGTTCCAATAAAAGAGAAAAAAAAATAAAGGATAGGCAGAATAGAAAAACAATATATGCTGTAGTGATTAAAGATTTAAAAATCTTTAAGTGTAAGTGTAAGCCTTGAAAACCAGAACTAATTGTGAACCACAAGCAGCGTTTTTCATTGAGTAAGCTGTGTTAAGTATACTATATTTATAATAGACTAACTTCTGGCTTTTATAAAACAGATATAAATACTGACAATATGTATTATAATTCATATATTAATTTCAGAGCCTCAAATACTTGAACAAATCAAGAAGTGCATATATATTTAAAGATAACAAACTTGAGCCTGGTGATTGAGGATGGTAAAAAGAATCAAGATGGCAGCTGTAACCATGGTATCTAAACCCCACTCTTTTTATGTATGTTGTAATGTAAATAAAAAGTGATGAGGTGATGAGGCTTGCACAGATGTGGCCATTATTTTGATATTTTTGATGCAACATTACTGAGCTCAAGCCTTATTTAAAGACCTCTCATGGATTTCAGAATCAATTTGATCAATCTGTGGGTTTAAAGTGCTTAGGATTTGAATGAAAGATTTGAGTCGCTAAGTAAATTTCTCCAAATCTTCATAGATTGGATGCTTGTTTGGAGTCAGACTAGATATATGCCAAATATATAATGAATCATTTTTTTCTCTGTAGAGTCACACATTATGTATCTTTTTTCATTTTAATTAATTAAAATAAGAAAAATATTTAAAATGATATCACAATGTATCTTGAATTATCCTTAACTGCTGCTAAAGGAATTAAAATTTGGCTGGTTTATGAAGAGGCTTGGCATAGAAGCAATAATTTAAAAGACTTTTGGCATCTAAATGTTTCTTTTGAGGTTAACGCCAATAGACCAATTTTAAGGAGGAGTTAATTTCTTCAATGCCGTTAATGAGTTTTGAATGTTAAATGCTGCTCTCCTTTTTAAAAAAAAAATCTCAAGGGTATTTTATAATCAGTTTATGTTAACTGCATTTTCTTATTCTGCAACAAGATTACTGTGATCTTTTTGTGGCCTTTTAAGAAGCAGGATATTTTCAAGGGAGGTTAAAGATAGCAGAATAAAGGAAAAATTCATATTTAGAATCCTGTAAAACTGGAATAGTGAAAAGGCAGAAAGTGAAAGTACCAAGGAATCACATAATCTCTGATCTCAGTTTACCTCTTACTTAACATTCAACAGACTTTCTGACTTTGATAGTACCATCCAGACGGTTTGAATGACAACTTTGAGAATTTATCGCATAACATTGATCATACTGACTTGATTTCTTGAATTCCTTCTATGAAAGGCACTAAGATGGAGAAGTGTATGTTTTTTTTAAGTATTTAATTAATCTCAGAGAATGCTTATGATTAGTCACAGTTGTGCTTTTCTTCTTTTTTTTTTACAAAAATCAATTTTATTTTTTTGTAAACAGAACATCTGACCTTCTCAGACATGTACATTAGAAAACATAACATATATGCTTTAATCTTGTTATAAAGTCTACCTATACATGTATTAGAGGTGTGTAAATTTCAAACTTCAACTCAAGACAGATGTTCTGACCTAATTAGAAGCATTCTAAATACTCTGCCAATCTGAACTGAAGTGTTCCCACCTTGAATTGTTCTCATCTTCATTTAGAGTAAAAACGAGCAAGAAACAACAGACAAATAACTTAAGGTTATTTGGAAGTTAGTATATTTTCGCTAAAACTGAAACAGTACTATAACACTTCTAGTAAAGTTTTATTAACTTGTTTAGAAGGGATGCATTTAAAATGCATTATAAATCTCTATTTACAAACTGTTTCAAAGATGTTCTTAAGAGAAATGAAGCAGCATCACATAAATTGAATTCACTTTGGAATCCAATTCTCATTTTCCATCCTTTGTACTCTAAATGTATTCCTTCAGGTGAAGATCACTGTTCTATCATTAATCTTAAGCAAACAACAGATTCTTAATATAGTTGCTATTTTTGTGCCTATTTTCTTTTCACCCATATTTAACCCTATTCACTTAAATATAAACCTTGGCTCACCCTCCAACTCATTCTTCCAATTCACCAAGCCTAACTGGTATGCTATTTTTCTGTGCAGTGAATGCAAAAATCAATGTAACCGCAAACACAGAAAAAGCATTGAACTCATCTCAAAATATTAAAATTACAATATAAGATAAACAGAGCTAATGTAAAAATGTACATAAAGAGAACGGCATACTAATTTTTTCCAAGCAGAAATATAATCCAAGTCAAAATAAATCACTTATTTGTTTAAAGTAGCATTAAACAAATGTACATTTGCATTAAACATCTGTAGCTGGAATCTAACTCTGAATACATGTTTATTTCACCTTCACAGGGCTGAACCAGAATGATTAGAAGTGAACAATTCTGGCAGGAAAGGGGACTTTTTAGAATATGCAAAAAACCTCCTCCCCCCAGACATCTGTAGCTCCAATTAGAGTCAGCTGTTTTTCTGCATGAAAATTTGTTGTATTAATACATAGCCAAAGAGGTTTAAGTCTAAGAGACCCAGGGACAAAGTGCCAACACTGACCCCCAACTATTTCCTATTTTAGGGCCACTTTTTAAAATAATAATAAGAGAAATAAAAACTATTATTTTAATATTATTTTTCTTCTTTTGATGTATCAAGATTGAATGACATATAGATGTCCTTTGATTTTCCTCCAATAATCTGAAACACTTGGTGTAAGGAAGCTAACAGTTGCCAGAGAATGGTAACTTCATGCTTGACTGCTTTCTCCTGCAAAAATATAGAACTGTGCTCTTTTTCACAGACAGTAATTAAGACTGATTTAATAAGAATTCTAGAGAAGACAAAATAGTGGAGCAAAGAGGATGGCAATGATCATTTAAGATGATTATGATAATAATTAGAACAACAACATTGGTAACAACAGTAATGTGGAATCAAGAGCAAATGCCAGAATCTCCAGTCTTCTTAGGCTACAATAATTGTCAAAGTGAGCCTGGTGAAGTCTTTGACTTACGACAGAAAACCTTTGCACTACAAGTATTTACAAATCATTTTGCATAAAATATCATAACCCCCTCCCCAAATAATAATTTTAAAAGTGGCCAAAATATCATGAGACTCCAAATAAGAACATAAAGATCTTAGTATATTTGATTGTCATTGTTATTGCTGTTGTAATCATCCTCAGTATCAAAATCTGAAGGTCAGTAGATGAAATATAGGGTCATCATGGATGCCTAAATTGCTGTTTCATTGTTTAAGCTAAATCTGGTTGAATTTTGTGATTGTATTATTGTTGCCTTTGGCAACAATATTTCAAATTAAATAGTATTGAGGTATATCATAATCAAGTTTTGAAAGAGCTCACTGTCCCCTATGTCATAATCTGCATGTCAGGGATTCTGGTTTTACTCATACATAAAAAATGAAAGAATTGTGTCTGTTTGGTTAAATATGTGCTTTCCTTCCTGATGGCTTCACAACTCTGCTTTCTTGTTCAAACTTCAAAAGAAATCACCATTATTAATTCATGTTTGACATACAACTCAAGGGAAATTTTCTAATTATTCTTCAGAGCTAGTTTTTAATGACAGAATGACTGTCATTTGAACATATGGTAATGTACCTTGCACTGTTTCCATTGTTGCTATGATTTTTTAAATAAATTTCTGCCATTACTAATTCAGAGTTAGCAGCACTGAAACATTTATACAGTTTCTCTAATGTAAAATTAAAATAAATGAGTAAAATGCTTTTGCTTACTTTGGCAGTCACCTAAGCCATCAGTATTGCCATGTTCTATGTCCTGCTCAAAGGCCAATCTAAACAACAGAAAGAAATAGAGAATTAATGGACATATGTGTTCCATACACAGAATTCATAGAGATAACAAAACAAATAAAAAAGAAATTTATATTTTTAATAGTTGCACAAATGCAAGCACAAAATAATGCATTTTGCTTGACTTTTCAGTTATCTCTTTAAGAGAACATGTGTATATGAATATTTTTCTTTAAAAATATAAAATATAAACTTAAAAGTCCTGATCGACTTTCAACTCCTTCTCAAGCAACAGATGGAAGCTGTGGCCAGGAAGTCATTTACCATGCTTTGGCTGATTCACCAGTTGCAACTCCATATGGACCACTCATGGTTTGGTCATCAATTAATTAAACTATTGCTGGACATGCTGATGTGATCTTTGAAAACAACTGGTGCAAATTGGGGCAGACAGATTACTGGTAAAATAATTCACCCATCAAGAATAACTCCATTATATTCTTTATGGCTCCCCATGTAAACTTCTCCAAATAGCATACAAATAATAAGCATGATAGAGTTAGGGTTACGGTTAAACTTTATGCTGTTATAATTACTTGGCAAACTTGCTAAAACCTTGGCAAACTTGAACACAGCAACACTTATTTTCTAAAATCAGAGGGCATCCAAGGGTCATGCTCCGAAGAAGAAGACAGAAAATGTTCAAGACTAGCAGGTCAGTATTAGTCTTGAGCTGGAAAAAATGGGAACAATCTGATCTGTCTCGAGAGGATCTTTTAAGCTAGATGAAAAGAACCAAGCACCAAGTCAGTCCTAGATCAATCCTGTGTTGAGTTAACACAGTGTTAGTTTCTTTACGACAATGCAATAGTAATAGCACTTAGTTTTATATTGCCTTTCACAGTGCTTTACAGCCCTCTCTAACCGGTTTACAGAGTCGGCATATCGCCCCCAATAATCTGGGTCCTTATTTTACTGACCCCCCCCCCCCCCGAAGGATGGAAAGCTGAGTCAACCTTGAGTCAGTGAGAATTGGTCAGCAGAATTTGCCTGCAATACCGCATTCTAACCACTGCACAGCTCTTTGATGAAGATGTAATAGAAACTTTATAATTCTTATCTCAATTTAGAATGTGGCTTGTTTTTGGGAGTGTTTTTGCTTAAAAGAAACAGAATTTATTGAATCTAAAGCATTGCACAGTCCTAATATTTATGTATCTTCATCCTTAATCAGAGAGAAGTCCACCTGAAATACCACTCTGGAAACAGAGGCAATAAGAAGCATGCAATCAAGTCACTTCCTTTTTTTTGTCATGCATGTTTTTGTCTATAGTTTTCAGTGAAGCTCCTAACTAAAATATTGCTCAGTATTATAACTGAAATAAATACATTCTCCCATATCCAACACAAACTTACGTTGCTCCAGGTAGAAGCTGCATGCATGCTCCACTTTCTTTCATCCATCCACAGTATGGGTCCCTAGAAGCTATGCAGGCCCTTAACAGAGGAAACGTGTACAAATCATTCTATAAATACTTTGTTATTATTACTTTTATGTCAGTATCAACATGTCAGTGTATGTCCTGCAGAGGAAGTGATACTGAGGAATACGTACTTTTTGCATTTGCCATGACGCTCACACCTTCCCAGAGGAACTCTTATCAAACAGTTTGAAAATGCTACATAGAGGGCACGGCTTTGCTTGTCCAGTTGCATGCCCATAATTCTCTTGTCCTCCACCCCATCATAGCTGCACCTAATTTGGATGAATAATAATTTCCATCAGTCTTGAAAACTTTGATTATAAAACAAATATAAAATAGAATAGGTGCATACACATATCTCACTTAGAGTAATATATTGGGATGATCTAATTTAAATCCTTTATTATATGATTTGATGGAGTGCACCAAAGAGATGTAAGTTGCTGGAGAGTCACAGGTATGATTTTTTCTTTCTGGTATGGTTTGAGACAACCAACGGAAGAAGGTGCTGGAGAAAGGATGGGAGGAAAGGATCTATTCCTCATCTTTTGCTCTAAAACCATCATATGATTGAGCCATATTTTGAAGAATATCCTAACTCGTAGCTGTCATAAACTGAGAAAGTGAATAGCCTTGGTTTTCATTTTTTTACATGGAAAGTAAGCCTTTACGAACCATTTTGGCATCAGTAAACGAGCAAAAATATATAGTTTTATGCTTGGCCAAAATGTCTTCACCCTCATTCTAAGACGTCGTACCCCCACATCTTTACACACAAACACATTCTGCCTTTCATGTGAGGCATTCAACTAGAATATATTATATATATTTAAAATAAAAAATAAAAGTATTTAATTAATTTTAAAAAAAATGGAAGTGGAGACAGCAAGTGATTGTTGAAAAATTGTATTGATGCAGTTACAATTGGAGTGAAGTTCAAACAAAATCTGAAATAATTTTCTCAGGGATGAGAAAGAGTCTTCTTTGAATGTCTCACATTCTATTATTTGCATTTTATCTATATACCGTGTTTTCCCAAAAGTAAGACCCATTCCAAAAATAAGCCCTAGCTTGATTTTTGGGGGTGGGCCTAATATAAGCCCTACCCTCAAAATAAACCCTAGTTGGGGACAAGATGCACACCTAAAAATCAAGCTGGGGCAGGGAAGGGGAGTGGACCTACCCCACATGCCCCGCACCCGCTTATCATTGCAGCCAGGACTCCCATGAATCGACACTTGCCTCAACGGCCTACTTCTGCGGCCAAAGGAAATGCCTATATATCTGAGAATGGAGCTCTGGCCTGCATTTCCAGAAAGGCCTCTGATGGCTAAATGCAGGCTGGGGAGCGCACGACACGTGTCAATTTGGGGCCCCATTCTCAGCTGAGAGATATTTCCTTCGGCTGCAGAATTGGGCCAGCTGGGCGAGGCTGTCAGTGCTGCTGCCACAAGGTAAGACCATGGAAAAGACACCCCCTGAAAATAAGACCTGGTACCTCTTTTGGAGGGGAAAAAAATAAGACGGTCCTATTTTCAGGGAAACACGGTAACTGTATATAATCCTGTCTGTAGTATAATTATTTACTGGGAAGTATTGGTTTTAACCTTTTTTCATAAATCTATAGCAATATAAAAGAGAATCCTTTATTTAAAAATAAAAAATAATTGCGCTAGGGATTCTCCCCAATCAGGAAAAAAGCAATAGATAGGAATTCAGAACTAATTTGTTGCTAAATAATGTAATAAAAGAAAGAAGCATTGATACACACTTTTCAGAGTTGTAAATGCTCATCTCCTCCAGGAAAAGGCTGTCATTTAGAAAACCACTGTTCCCTGTCCTGACTAAGAACTTCAAAATAATTCCTTTCTCTGATCCAAGAAAAACCACAGTATGGTTCTGATTCGGGCCAGCAGCATTATCTACAGCAATTTTCGTCAAGCGGTATCTGGAATGACAGCATTATAGTTTTAATCATTACAATAGTCTCTTTTTAAAATCTGTTCAGATGTACCGTAAATGCCGGCGTATAAGACGACTTCTGCGAGCGCTGAAATCGGCGCCAAAGACGGGGGTCATCTTATACGCCGAGTCGTCTTATACGCCGGAAATACTGGTAGTTTCCGGCGTATAAGACGACGTTCTAGGAATGCGGCCCGGCTATAAAGACGGTGTTGTCTTATACACCGGGTCGCCTTGTACGCCGGCATTTACGGTAATTCTGCACTTTCACAGAGTGAAAGTCTTTTCCCAGCATAAAATCAGGTTTAGCCTGGATCAAGATAAACCTACCACAAGATTGATTTATGTATCTATTCGCTGCTTTACAAAACATCTGAACAGTTGACAGATTATAACTTTCTCTCTTTCTGACAAAGGTGTTTTGGATCAGGCATGTGCACTTTCAATATATCAGTCAGCAGCTTCTTGAAGGAACAATGTGCAACACCTTTTTGAATCAAAATACTGCACAGCTGTATATAGAATACAGGACATGCATATGTACAAAGCTTGTGCTTTGCAATGTGAAAATAATGATTAACATATTTTATTGTTGTTGGATTCTTAATCAGAAAACCAGTTTTTTTCAAACTGTTTAAAACCCTTTCCCCACCCAGAGATCTTTAAATAAGTAAACACTCATATACATGTGAATGTGTATGAATATAGCAATGTATAAATCTACTTTTAAAATGAAGTTTACATATCAGCTGGTATATTTTCCAGACACCCAGTTTACAGATTCTGAAGGCTGTTGGTTTATATGATCTTGAAGGAGGAAAGTATTATTTCTTTTCTTATGCTGACACAGGACTATTTGGATGTTAACATTACCCTCTGAACATTTGTATAATTGTTGAAGCTTCCTTAACACATCCTGACAGACCTCAGTACATCCTGAAATTATCCCACAGAAATTTTATATCCGGCCAATGTTTCCTTCATCTACCTATTATTTTATTTAGAATTTTCAATTGGAGTCTTTTAAAATTATGATTCAAATGTAAACACAGAAGTTAGTAATTCCTTTGAGATATGGTTTGAAGGAAACCTGGTAAAAAAATTAGTAACATTCTTCTAGTCACTACAATTCTATAACAATTACCTCATGCCTATTCTAGTTCATAAAAACTTGAAATACGCCATAACTGACTACTTTAATCGCCCATCTATTTCAGCATTAGATTAGATAGTCAGTTCATTTTAGAGAGATTCTATTAAATCTCTTCAAAGGCTTTTAAATAATTTGATCATATCTATATACTTACTTCCTTTCCTTAAATACCCTGACTTTGGATTATTTTACAACAATATTTTAAATAATATTGTTCCCGGTGCTGATTTTGGGGAACAAGAACTGTCCTGTTTGTTTAATTATAATTTAATTATCATTTTTGCTTAATTATCAATTATCAGTTAAAGTCCTAGATTATTGAGAACCAGGACAGACATGCACGAGTTCTAAATTAGAGCGTAATTTCAAATTTGAAGATAGAACAGAACCCCTAGTGAAATAAATAGGAAGAAACGTTATTTACCTAACCATAGTACGGAGAAACCATGGCTTGTTCACAACTGATGGTACTGCTTCATCCATGAGAGAATGTGTTTTGATGAAATTTAGTGTGTCATCTGGAAATTCATTGGAGGATGTGTATTTTTCAAGTGAACTGGAGCCTGCACAGGAACCCGGTCTAAATCAAAAACAGGTTGGAAGGAAATATGATTATGTTGCTTCTTATTGCAAATATTCTAGACAAGCTGTTTTTATAAGCATCTGCTATTAGCTGAGAATATGCCAGAGGCTTTGTAGAAGAAACCAAACGATACATAAGGCTTCCAAATTGAAGCTCTCTTGTATTTCTCTTTGATCTAGTCTTTCCACGATCCTAACTCAGCATTCAGCAGTCACTTCCGTGAATATTACATTTAGGACTATTTAGTAAATATAAACATATTTAACAGAATATTAAATTTGTTAAGTTTATAATTTGTAAAGATGTGCTCATAGTGCATCCACCCACATGGTACGCCAACAAACACACAGTCTGGCAATGTTCTATTTATTTTTAAGGCATATTTCAAACGTAAATCTCTTAGAATTAAGAAAACTACGTTGAAAGCAGAAGAAAATTTTTACATTTTTCCCCTGGAAGTGTAATAATTAAATACACAGCTTGAAGGCTAAATGTAGTCAGCAGCAAAGAGCAAGCAACCTCTTTTCTGTGGTTCCCAAGAATATTTTATTTTTGTCAGTATGAAAACTTGAGCCTTGAAAGCATTAATATGTAGGGTTTATAATGGTAAGACACAGTGTCATCTATCTTGGATTACAGTAGAAATAGGCTCAGTTTATTCCTGGAATCTCCCCATATTTTATGGCAATTGGGCCAAAATAGTTATACGCTGGCAGCAAAAGAATCTGTTTTCTTTTGCGGACTATGCCCTCCCCTTGGTTCCTTTTTTTGTACTTTTTTTCTTGTTTGCGGTAATGCTGATTGTCCAGACTTTGAACTGAGGGGGTGGGGAAATCTCTGCAAATCAACATCAAGCTGAGTAACTACACGTACATGGGAATTAAATATAAAAACTCTATCTTCTTTGTAAATTATAAGTGTGATTGCGGTATTGGATTATAAAAGGTCTCTTCCATTACACAAACAAAGTGTATATGAGAAAACTGCAGAGGTTGTCATTAGAATCAGTGAAGGGTAAAACTGAAGTGACTAAAATATAAAAAAAAATCTAAAAAGAAAGAAGGTGAAACAAAAATGAGCAATTCTTTTCTGTAGGTTAAGATCAAAAGCAACAAATCAATACATTTGTTTATGTTTGTACTATAATGTTGCTTAGTTTCCTTTTTTTAATAATGAAACTTATTATATCAATTATAAACATATGATTAAAAATTAGAGAAAAAAAGAATCAACATCGTCTTAGCTGAGAATAACAATACAAATATATCATATTTGCAGACAATCCTTTCTATTGCTGGAGGAATTAACTTACTGCTTCTGCCTATGAATGAGGATGACTGAGAATAACCTACACTGAGGCACTGTCATTGTATGTCAAATTCTTACCTTGATATTTTTGTTAGGAAAATGTTGAGTTTTCCTTTTCTAAAAATAAATTATACAGATTGGTTGCTTGCTTACCATAATTTTCCTCACTTGCCTGACCAAATCCTTTATCAAGAATAAGAGGTTCTGGTTTTTGCCTTTGTATGAACCATGCTGATTGCTTCTGCATTTGCCTCTACTTCTCAACTCTTGCATTTACACTATATATTACGTCTCCCATGAAATGAAAACCAAAGGACTTCCATCCCTGGCATTACTGTGCATGCAATAGAGAAATGTACCTGGGTTTAGGCACTCTTTCCTCAGGAACTGGTGTCCATATTGAATCTGGAGATTTTTGTTCTTTGAATCTTCCAGTAAATACACTGGCAATGTCGAGAATATCATAAGCGCAGACAGCAGAGCCAGGGATGCTGCAATGTGACATTTCCAGAAATAGTTACTCATCCTGAAATTATGCATTTCTCTCTCTCTCTCTCTCTCTCTCTCTCTCTTTGATCTGAGATACACACAGCACAGAAGCCTTCCTGTCATAGGCCATTCATTTCTGAATCTTGCAACCTCTTGGCATTGACGGTAAAAGATTGCCTTATGAAGACATTTTATTGAAACATTCAGTGGGGCAGCCAATTTCTATCAGTTTTCATCTTCAAAAGATTAAAAAAAAAGTAATAACACACAGTAATAGTTTTGATGACTCCTAAGATGTCGAAACATACTTCTAGTAACATGAACTAAAAAAATTAATGTATTATCAAGTTATAACCTCTTTATGGAAGAAACTGGTGTTGAAAATGAACACATGCTCAGTGTGATACTGTCTCAACCCTTAGTGGTTATCTAGTTGCAATCTAGAAAGCACTCATGTGTCGGAGCAGGTATATTTTGCAGAGACGCACATTGCTCAGTCACAACCTATTTGGCTGTTGAAGTTGTGGCATTCCATTTTCCTGGATTTTTCTGGTTGAATTCCTATGAACAGGGATTTGCTTAATTCAGTCAACTATAAAGAAGCAAATGCAGTTTCATCTTACTCCCAGTGCAATTTAAATTTAGATTGTTTGCATGTAACACAATAATAGCAATCATCAAATATAATTACAGTCTTATACAAACACTTCTGGAAAAGCTTTTTTGTTGATGGTTTACATGTATGAATTATTGATCTGTTTTTATTGCTTACCCAGCCTGCTACATTACTTTTGTATCTGACTTAAGCTACATGCTTCTGATCAGATAATAAGCACTATCTGGCTGTATGTTAAGTAATTTCTATTTACAAAGATGACATGATCAAATATCCAAAAATTTCCATAATTATGCCTTGTACTTTATAAAATGTAATAAAATGCTAGAATCAACATTAAAGAATGTTAAACCAAATTCCAACAAGTCTTTTCAATCCTTCTTCTATTCCTTTTTCCCTCTTTTGGGTAAATACATTTCATTTTGAACAATGATTGCCTTCCAAATAAAATATGTATATTTCCTGTGTTTGACTGTATAGTATTTCCAATTCATGGCTTAAACATTCCCAAAGCAGCTGCTTTAATTTGATTCTCAATAGGACCTATTATGCCACATTGCTGGCATTTCATCCCAATGCGAAATGACAGGTGATTTACCACTAACTTTGCTGTGGTCATCTCTGACTTCAGGTAGCCAACATGCAGTGGTGTATGAATACACCAAAACATGCAATGAAATGTGAGTATACTAACTCCTTCCCCTTTTCTTCAGATATCTTGTAAGACATGGGAAAGAAATAGGTTCTACCATAGTCCTAAATTCACTTTAATAAGCTAAAGTTTTCCAGAGAATGTAAGAACAAGATATCTTGGTATTTTTCTATAAGTGAAAAGTAAGATGAGATACCAGTGCTTACACAAACTTAAGTGATAGGGGAATGCTTGTAATACCTTTCATTACCTGATATCAGAATTACTCCTATTATTTCTTCTTATTTTTTGTTTGTACATGGTAAGAAGCAAAGGACATAGCCACATTCAAGCCATCTGTTGTGCTGGACATTGTACAAGAAAGGCATATCCATTAGAAGGAAGGAAACTCATGTCCATGAGGAAGTAGAATGATTTTCCTTGGCATGCTCTATTTCCCTGTGATTCATAAGGAGTACAATCTGCTACAGCTTGTGCAGAAATGCATTGTTCTGCCTACAAATTCCATTTGTTTTTAATAGTGCCTGAGCAGAGGATGCTTGCAACAAATTGTGCCAGACATACTTGAGAATTGTTTCCAACACTATACAAAATGGTTAGAGCTGAAGCTCATGCAATTTAATTCTTACACACCAGAAACTAGCAAATCCCCTTTTGTGTATGATACATGAACTCCAAATGTAGAAACAGTTGGCTCAAGGAAAGTTCACAAAAAATCCCTTTCATATTTAAGAAAAAAAAATGCACAATCACAATCATATATGACCTTGTCATTATTATCAATTATGAACCAAACAATAGTGAATGGAATGTATTATTGATCCAATTTATTGAAGTTGCCATCCAAAATTAATAACAAAATACTAGTTTTTAATAGTACAATTTTTGACATATTTCTTTTACGAAGAACAAAAAATGTATGTATTAGGACGCAGCAGTTTTTAGCCATTATTTTGCTTTTTAAAACTCCAGCTTTTTCCCAGGTTATCATGATTACATTCCTTGAATAATTCAAAGATTGAAAGAAAGTTCTTTTTTTTTTAAATGAAGCTTTGCTCCCAAAAGCCTGCCATTTCCAAACTAGCCTACTGATTTTGTTATAGTATATGGTCAGTTGATTGTAATACTACAATTGTTTGATTTTACCCATTAGCATCTCACAATACTTTATGTGAGAATACAACAGATTGGAAACCCAAGTGGCTGGATTTCCTGTATAGGATGAATAAAAAAATAATTCATATTTTGAAGGAAATTGTTACTGTGGAGATAGATTTAGAAAGATTGAACAATTATGAAGTTGAGGTGAGAGCCTCAAAGAAAACTCTGGCATCTTGTGACATTTGCCCAATGACCTTTTCAGCTGCTGCCAATGTTCAGAAAGTAGGTTAAAATTAACTGTAATAATTTAAAGGATGATTTCACAAAGAGAAGCTGGAATGGTAGAATAGATCTCATCTTATGAAAAAATGGAATCAGATTTTTTTTAGAAAGTATGTTGTTTTTACTCTGGACACCTACACCTCTCACTTCATACCCTTGTCAAAGGCCCCATACAGCCACTGACAAGCTCCACAAAGTGAACATGTGTTATAGTGAAAATGCTGTACACATGAATGAATTTTCAGTTTTCTTTCTTCTGTTTTATGCACTAGTATATCAACATTAAAGTCTTCCCATGACAATTTAATTTGAAAAAGTGTTATTTGTTTAAATTTTAAGTAGTGGGAACAATTTCAAGCAAACAGTAATCTGTGATTATCTATTCTAATCAAAGCTTGGCAAACCATAGTTCCTAGAACCTGAATATCATTTGAGATGGCTTGTGATTAATTCAAATTTGGAAGCAGATGTTATTAGCTGCTTTTTATAGTGTGCAAATGATAATACATGAAACAAGGAGTGAGTTCAAAATTTATGCACCCTGAGTTTTAGCTACAGTTTCCCTATTGACAAGTAGACAATCATGCATGTAAGCAATGCAGTGGAAGATTTTGACAAGTATTCTCAAAATATTTTAACTAAAAACAAAACAAACCCCCAGTCCACACTGCATTACCAACACTTTTTTCTGGCTTTTAGGAACTTTCTGAAATTTTAGAACAGGCAGAAAAGCCCATTCTCAACAATGGGAAGAAAAGGAGCTGTGCAAGTCAGTAATAAAACAGGTAGTCCTCAACTTATGACCCCAAAATTTCTGTTGTTAAGTGAGATATTTGTTTTGCTCCATTTTACAACCTTTCTTGCCACAGTTGTTAAGTGAATCACTGCAAGTGTTCAGTTAGTCACATGGTTAAGTTAATCTGGCTTCCTTATTGACTTTGCTCATCAGAAGGCTGCAAAAGAGTATCACATGAGGCCGGGACACTGCAACCGTCATAAATATGAGTCAGTTGCCAAGCATCTGAATTTTGATCATGTAAATGTGGGAATGCTGCAACTGTCTTAAGTGTGAAAAACGGTCATAAGTCACTTTTTTCAGTGCAGTTGTAACTTTGAATGGTCACTAATTGTACTGTTGTTGTAAGTCAAGGACTACCTATAGATGATTTTTCTAAGAGCTACGAGGAAAAACGGGAAGGAATCAAAAAATCTTATGCACTGAAAGACTCCCATTTGTGTATTCTTCTCAACAAATTAGTGTAAGTTGAAAGAACACAAAATTCTTGTCTGCAATATCAAGTTAAAGATGCTTTAGCTGATACCGGTATTTTATGCGAGTTAGTATTTAATAGCCAGTTTCTCTTTATTTAAGGCAATGTTATCAAGTGGGTTGAAAACAGTCTCCCTCCTCTATTAAAACCATTACCTGTTATAAGGGGTAGAAAAAGTTGCTAAGACAATGTCCCGGCCATTAACATCGGTAACATCGGTAACTGCCTGCAGTATGTTGAAATAGAAATGCGAATCTCCAGGTACTGAACAGTTCAATCGTGCCTTCAGGAAGGAAGTCCACTGCTTTTCTAGCACTCGTTGAGATCCACCCATGTCATTCTTGCAAACCCGCGCTACTCTGGGGAAAACTACCTGCAATGCGGAAAGGGGAATAAAGAACCTGTGATATATTTTTACTAGAATTCTGCTGTTTTCCTCCTTTAAAAAAAGCAGAATTGGCAGAACTGAGTGCTTAATTGGATCTCCAGTTTCCTATAATACTGTGACAAATAACAAACAGAACAAAATTCAGTTTTGGAACTGTGTGCTATGAAAGATAAGCTTCTGACATTTCACATCCAGCCATAAATCCTTCAGGAGATGTTCTCGGCCCATGTAAAACTCATTTCTATGCAGGCCACTCAGCTTTCTCTTCCTACAAACAAAAGGACATTCTGTATTTGCAATCCATGTGGCCCGTACTGCCAGCCGGAGTCCCATATCCCCAGCATATTTTATTTAAAAAATATGGAAGACTCATCAAGCTTTTATTCATGTTTTCTCCTTTTTAACCTTGTAAGCCTTTTATTGTGGAAATATTCCTGAAAAGGTCTTTTCAGTAAAGGCTTTCATTGTGCTTTATTACATGGCAAGACTGAAATTTCTCCTCATTTACTTCTGTTGTTCATAGAAAGGTCTTTCAAATGCAGCTGCTCCCTTGCTTTAAAGTCAGTCTTGCAGTGATTATTTGGAACTTTGAATTAAATCAATTTGCCATATGTTTTCCAGTTTAATGGGGGTACATTTTTCCCCCCCAAAATTGTTATCATTCCAAGCCAAAATATTTTATATTAGCTTTTCTCTAATCTGGTGCCCTTCAGATTTATAGAATTCCCGCTATCACTAGCCATCATAAGAAAGGTGTTTTATATCAAGATAATATCATGCCTCATTCCTACCAAAATTTGGCATGAACAGCAGAATCTTTCTCACAACAGTGACCTTGTTATTGTGATTTATAGCTCTCATTTCAAGGTTATTCTCCTTACCTTCCCCATACTGTGATATTCCACTGCAATTTCCCGAAAGAAGAAGTAGATATAGTTACCATAATCCACTGCATGAACAAAATATGGTTCTGAAAGAAAGACAACATGTGGTCATAAATAGAAACACTTTCAACGAATAGTAAAATCAATCTAACCTGGGTTGAATATTTTTCATTGGCTTTTCTAGGACGTATTTATTTGACAATACAGGGTGATTATAAATCAACAGGATCTAGGTATGAGGATGGTCAGTCAAATCTCTGAAAGCTATTGAAAATATCATATATATGGAAAAAGTAAATTAGCTTCATCTAGGACTGTCTGTTGGCTCAGACATAATTCCTTATCTACACAGAGAAACAGAATGACCATAGGGCACAAAAAAGGCAGTGGAAGCAGGACTGGCTTATAACTTCCTGCCAACTTTTCTACTGATTTTCCTTGTAGAAAGTTAGCAGGGAACCTTGTAAATACAATGACATGACCATGGGTGACAGCAGCAGTAAAGTGGTGGAGCAGCAGTGAAACAGCCACAACTTTGCCAAATTTCAATGCCATGGGAGCCATAGATCTCAAATTTTGGAAACGTTTTGTAAATTAGCCCATTTGGGAAGTATTGTTTCTAAAATTGTTGCTTAATGATGCACTGTTTCACCCAATTGAAGGTTACAAATAAACAGACACAAAGGTTTTAGTTGTATACAGATTCAAAAACTTCAAAATGCTGCAATTGCTTAAATATCCTTAAGAATTATGTTGTTTGTAATGAAGCAATGGATATTACATTCAAATGTAATTTTAATTTTGGCAATGGATGGGTGACCAAATGAAGGCTAAGCCATTAAATATCCTATTTAACCCCCTATGCACACACACATACACTCACAAATGAAACGGTGCTGAAATGCTTGTATGATCTGAGACCAACAACTCATATACAGCCTCTTTCAAGTTAATAGAAATAACTATAGAGAGTTCTACTGATGAGATGAACTAATGCCAGATTCATGGGCAAGCATTTAGCTCAATGGAGTCTTTTCTAGGGTTGGGGTGGGGGATGTTAACGCAAGTGAATCTCTGTATTGGAGGAAAGACTCCACACTTATTATTGTCCAATCTTCAGATAACTGTATGGCCCAGAATAAAGACTACAAAAGACTATATTAGGTGCACTGTTGTGATAAATTATTAATACACATATGACTAAAATAAAATATGAAGTTATTCTTGTATGTGTGTATAGATATAGATAATAGGCCCATAAATCAAGAGATATAACTATTTCATTTGCATTTTACTCCAAAAATGGAACTCCAGTTCTCTTTATTTGTCCACACAGGATTATTCTTATCAAAGAGAATTAATAACAAACTGAAGTAATAAAAACACGACTATAAAAATGCAATAATTTTTGCATTTTGCTCATAAAGAAAAAAAAATGGAAATAACATCATTTACAGACTGTGTCCTTTCTCTTTCTCTCTCTTTTGCATTTTTTGTCTATAAACAAAAGCCCCTGTTTTCACAACAACATAATACTGCGTGGCATTCATTCATAATGCCATTGGAAAAGAATGAATGGCAACTTTTTTTTAACAATAGGGCCATTGAGAACATACAAATTGCCTAATTCAGTGGCACTCATTCATTATTTCTTGACAATAAAATGGAGGTTCTGATATTCTATTTTTTATTGGTGTATCTCAACCCTGCAGAACAAATCTTCTACGCTTCACAAACCCTAGATTGCCTAGGCCCATCAGAGGGAAGAGCTGATGGTGCCATCGTTGTTCTAAAATAACTCTTTACCCATTCCTTATCGTCAATCTTTGATGAAATATCTAGCTGTTAAAAATTAATTGGATGCTATCTATTTTGATGGCTCTTGTAATTTTGTATGAATACCTAGCAACTAAAAAAAAAAAAATCAGTGGAACAAGGGTACTGTAAAAAAAAGGCAATTCAGTATCTCTACCTGACAGAATGCGTTGCTGAAATAAAGTATGGCTTCTTTGTGCTTTAAAAATCTGTTCGTTGAACAATCACTAAAGAATGAGATTTTGAAGAAGCACAGCAAAAGTAAGTAAAATAAGACAACAAGGTCTACAGAGAATCCAACAGTGTAACCCAAAATGTCCCCCTTCTTCCTGTAGCTCTTTATTTACCTTTCAACCATTTTGAATCATGTTTGACTGTCCGCAGCGTCGGGCTGTCTCCAAGGCTCCGGTAAATGACGGCATCTATTGCAAGGAAATCTGTCACAGTGGCAGAATACAGCTTTCCCTCTTTTGGGGTGGAATTGGAAATCAGCAATAGGGAAGAAGGAAAAAAAAGAACAGCATAGTTGTATCTGCTAGGTAATCATGGAAACAGCCCATCCAAGGGGTCTTAAGGCATGAAAACTGTTCCCTCTCAGCACTCAAAAAAGAAGAAGAGTCTGAAGAAGAATCTCCCTGGGCAAAAGGTCCCTCCTTGGATTATATCCTGCTTGCAGACTCCAGATATCACATGCCTGATTTAATCGTAACAGTAGAATATATCAATATATGTTCCTAGTAATGCAACTAGATAATTTTAAAAGACTTTAAAAGAGTCTTGTATCCTTCCCCTTCAGATCGACATCTTAATTCAATTATGGAGAAGGCAACTGTATGTTAATACTTTTTTCAGGGAAAACTATGCATTTGAAAAGAAAATGAATATAATACAATGAATCTCTACGTAACTATGTTCTTACCTCAATTATTATTTTTAATTAAGAAGAAATTGCTGCTTCTCTATCACCTTCAGTTCTCTAGTTATTCATCCAACTCTGCCTAAATTTATTTTATTAGATTTGTTTGCTGCCCATCTTGCCTCGAGGTAACTATGGGCAGTTTACAACATTAAAAGCCAATACAACCACAAAAAATAAATATTTCTAATAACAGTAAAGATTACAGTTAAGAAGATGAGGAGGAAGGGAACAGAATGCACATGGGGAAGGCAGTGGGGGTTTTCTCTTAATCTGTCAACCACCTCCAGAGTGATACATCCCTATTGGAGCTCCAAACTAAATGGCAGAGCCAGGTCTTAAAATCCTTCAGAAACATGTATCAGAAGGGTAGGAGCAGATCTCATCCGAAAAATTAAGCCATTCTTTTTTCTAATTCACCTATTTCACTGAGGATCTTTTTAAACCAAAACTAATTTTCAGGATGTGAACCTAGCACTTATAAGCAGAAGATGAATGATTTGCTTTATTGTTCTCTAAAAGCTCAAATACTTAAATGTCCTTCTGGAGTCCACACCTAACTGTCCCACTGAATGTCACCTTCCACTCCTCCACTTTTTATTATATAAACAGCAATGCTGTACACCGGGCTTTTCTAACTTGGTGACCTCCAGGGATGTTGACCCAAAAATCTCATCCTCCGAAACAGGATGATCACTGTTGCAATAGGTAGTTCAATATGTTTGTACCAGATTGAAGAAGGCTACATGAGCAGTTAAGTAAATCAACTTATCAGGAGTGGGAGTATAATGAAAATAGATTCAAGTTCCTACTTTTTTTTGTGACTTAATATATTTTTATGAGTCATTGCATTTTTACTTTAATGCAGTGCTGGTATTGGTATGTGAAAAAGACCTTGGGAGACAGAACAAAGAGATGCTGCTTAGGCAACAGTCAAATAAGAGAGGGTATACTGTGGTCTACAGCAGCTTTAATGGATGGACCAGAAGAGACTCAGAGATAGTGGGAGATTTACACTTTTAGATTTACAAGATTCTGTTAATGGAGCTTTATAATAAAGTAGAATTAGTTTATCTGTTTCCTGTCTGGTCTACTGGCAAAGCTGACATCAATCTTGAAAGTCTGAAAGTACAATTTTCTTCCATCTCCTTTACAGCCCAAGAAACTAGGGAGGGTCCCTTCTGAACTTCTTACCCTGCCCACTATTCAACTGCAGGCTATTCTCTCTCTTATCTGACTGCTCCCCAGGCAGAATGTCTTCATTCCATCTCCCAAGGTCTTTCCCACACGCCATTACACTACAATAGTTGCTTATGGCTTTGTGAAAAAAATAGTCTGAATAGTTAGTCAAAAGTATTTCCATAATATTGCTGAATATTTTATGGCTATTTTGAGATGGGATCATAAGGGTTGATGCTACCAGAATTTCAGTAATGAGACAATTTAATCTAAAATCTATAAAGAACAAAATTCTAAAATACCATTCTATAATCAATGGCCCAAATTAACCCCACTCACACATACTCATATTTTTAAACCATTGCAAAAAGAATTAAGAGTTAATTGCATTTCTTTGCATGTATAATACATCATGATTAAATCCACAGTTGCCACTTCAATCTCCTCCCTTGCCTCAGCTGGTAACAAAACATCAAGAAGTTTAATCTCACCAGGTTACTCCTTTTTTCTCCTTTCTATTTTATCCAGAAAAGAGTAGAAGGCACATATAATAGCTTGTTATCCTAACAGCTGAGATAAAGTATTGCACCTTATGAAATAATTTTCTGTCTACTCTAATTCAAAGTTATTTTAATATACTTTAGCACTGTAAGTATGCAACAGAAAATGAATTTATTTTCCAAAGTGAGAATCCTATGTTTATTTGTTTGACTATTAGCTAATTAGTTTAAGCCATGTGATACCCAATAAATAGATAATTCCACCCCCTACTGCCCATAAACATATCTCAAGAAGGAACTATAATTGTACTCTCTAAGCACCTCATTATAAGAGGTGCTTAGAGTATATTTTTTCTCTTTTTATGTTACCTGCAAACAGTGCGACATTGGCATGCTTTGCATCATAAGGACATCTAGCCATTCCACTGAATTCATCTCCCAGAAATTCCAAAGTATCCATCTGAAAAACAAAACAGCATATTTATTTACAAACTAATAGGACTGGCAGAGATCTTGCATGAGAATTGTTTGAAGAGTTCTTTGTGTCAAAGAATCTATCTAAATGGCTGTGTCTAACTGACCTTGGCTATTTCAAGAAGTTAAGAAGGGTTACAGTTAGTTGTTACTTAAATGTGAGATCAGGGAGCAATTTCAAGCCTGTTGGCTATATTGGGAAGTTGAAAAAAGGTGGGCAAGAAAATTACATGGATGTATCCATGAACTTATAAACAATTAAGTCAGCATGAAGGAGACTTCCTCTTTACCTACCTGTGTAAGACCATTTTAAAGCTATGGTAATAAACTGCACAAACATTGAGAAGTTATAGTCTCAATTTCTTGGTCAAATAACCTAGGTCCTACCAAGATAATTGATGCTAAAGCAGCATTTGTCACTATGAGTACAGTCTTCTCCTAAGCCCAAGACCAAAATATATCCAAATAATTAAAGGTACCTATCTTTTGGTAGGCTATGGGGTTTATTTTTCCTCCTAGGCTCAATCATTTCAAAAACTGTTTCAATTCCAGTAAACATAATACTGAGAATATCAGATTGTTTCACCTCAGTGTAGTCAAGTGAATATTGGCTGCTTTGCCAACCTCTGCTTTTCTTTCTCTCATATGCAATTTTCTAATTTGGAAAGGGGAGCGGTATCCCACCTGAATTACTACTTCGTACTACCAGTAGTACCGTATACGCCTGGTTGAAGAACAGTGCTGTGTAGCATCCCTTTAACTTTCAGAATGTGGGTTTTTGTCAGCAGTGTGTGTGTGTGTGGTGGTTCCTCAAATCTAAAAATGATTAAAAATTGGGTCTATGCAAGACTCACAGATGTGAAACAGAACAAACTAACAAGGATCAGATAATCTATCCCATCATATATACTGAAATTAATCAAGGAGAGACAAGCCCAGGCATCATGCTGCCTTAGTTTCTATCTACTTTTCAATCCAATCCTGCACATGCCTGGAAATGCACCGTGGAGTCCAGAATTTAAGACAACTGATCAGCACATCTTTAGCATCTTCCTCGAGCTAGCTTGTACAAGGAGTAAAGAGGCTGGGCAAACATTCTCCTATGAACATTTTTCAAATTAATCTTGCTATTGAATTATAAGTAAGGCTGAGCAAATGTGATTATGAGAAATGATAAAGTTCTCATATGATGGTGGTAGAGGCCTGTTCATCCCTATACTGCGTGCAGGACTTATCATCAAAAACATCAACCTTATTTTTTTATTTATGGTTCTCAATCCTTCAGCCTTCTTCTTCTTATTCCCCCATATAATTTACAATGAGTTTTTTTAAAATTCTTTTTCAGAAAAATTTCTACAGAATTGGTTTGAATTAGTATCATGTGTAAATCATTCTTTTAGCTGTCAATAATTAATCTGTGAAGTATTTAAAATCTCAGCTTTAAGTGCAACCCCTGGGAAAATAATATTCTACCGAGCAGCAATAATTATACAAATAAGCATCTCAACGCAAAGCAGGTTTATAGTGGAAGCCACAGGGAAAAGTGCAAAGCCTACAGTCTTTAAGATTCAAATGTTTTTTGATTACTCAGTGCTGACTTTTGCTTTGTATCAGTTCAGATCTACCTAGCAAATTCAATTTACTTCAACAGAGTAAAGTAAGATAAGGAATTTGAAAAACCAGTGTGGATAATAAAGCAACTAAGCATCATTAGTCTTATCTAATCAATTGTCAGTCCCATGGGTTGAGAGACCTCTTTCAAGCATTGGATGATTTGTCATCATTTGTTTCCTGTCATGTATTCTTTTCTCTCTAGACTTTCTAAATGGAATCATTTGTGTTTTTCTTAGAATGGAAACATATTTAAAGGAAAGGTAGAAGGGAAGGAGTTTTGTATAGCGCATAATATTCCAGGCCCATCCAGGCTTTTGAGATCTGATGGTAGTGCCAACTTGCAGATCAAATGTTCTAATATATTAGCTTAGTTATTTCATTGGTCTTCTAAAACCTCAATGTCTTACTGGGCAAACTCTCTAACAGCAAAGCAGTATGTGAAAAATCCAGCATAATTCTATTTATAAGAGGAAATGAAATATTTGCAAAAATAATGCAAAGACTGTTAATATCCCTTCACATTGTCTTTCCATCTCCATCCTAAAAGACCTATGTAAAAAATAACAGTTTTCCACTAGGAGGTGCCTGAAATTTGTCTGACAAATTTATTTCAGAAAGTACTAAAATGGTTTCCTGAACTATATGTGCAAAATATTCTGAACTTGAAACATTCAGTGGTCAAGTTAACTATTCAGAACTTGAAAAAATAAACAGAACAGTATTACATATTAAATATTATTATTATCCTAACTTCAAAAAAAAAAAAAATGACCAAAGGAGGAATGGAAGGAAGATATATCTATATCTGTATTTGTATCTATATTTTTAACATAGGAAACAATGGAAATAAAAATAAAGTCAGGTTTCTGCCAACCTGACTACATCTTTTTTTAAAGAATAATCTTTTTGACCCATTTTTCTAGAGAATAAATGGTAAGCAGCATTCAGAATGGATTACCACCCACCCAGATTTCTAGCCTTAGTACAAAAAATAAAATTTCACTGTTTTCTATGGGCAAATAATAAAAATATTTCTAACTTAGTATTATTGGAATATAGCCAATTCAATATGTTCAGACATCATGTTTTGAGTTAGGTTCCAAGCACTTCCCTATCCATTCTCTTTAAGTTACTCAAAGTAAAAACAAAACAGAACATCCTAAGTGTCCACACATTCTCACATAGAAGAGACTTCAATATATACCCCTATGAGCAAACATTTACTAAAGGAAGGAAGGAATAATTTTTATGAGTCCACAATAAGCTAGATGGAACCAGTTTTTTTTCCCCTTGAGGTGAATGTGTAGTGCCTGATTATTACAATATTCAATTGCTTTGACAATCAGCTTAGATTCTAATTCCAGGCTTACCCAAGATATATTTTTGAGAGGACACAGGAGAAAATGTTAAATCACTTCTAGGAATATCCTGCACTTTTTAAGAATTTGAGGCTAACATTAATTGTACACGCATTTATGTGATTTTAGAAAAGGCAGAGCCAATGATTAAGGGAAATAGTAAACAATAATCGAGCAATATGCCATATGAACAAACTATTCTTTCTTTTATCATTGTGCCTAATTTCTGCCTCTCTCCCTGACAATTAGCATTATGTGGCCACTGAGTGCTCAGTATGTGCATTCCTTAGTAGATGAACCTGGGAGGGTTGCCCACTAAGATTCTTTTTAAACATTTTTTGCAAGCCATGGGGTCATATGATTACCCCATTCTGATTATAATTCTTTTCATATTCACAAGCTGAGTTCATTATTATGATGTTCAAACGTCTTACTCTATGGAGACAGGCTATAGCCTTTTCTCTAGAATCTGAAATGTTTCAATCTAAAATGTTTTAAACAATGGTTTGTTTGTTTGTTTCTTATTTCTCAAATGCTGAACTGGCTGATCTCTAGGAAGCTGATCCTGGAAACTGTCTTGATGAATCACTTGTTATAAGAGAAAGAAGAATTAATTCAAAATTTGAAAAGCCAACATTAAATAATAAATGCTGGCAATAGAAGAGAATTTTATTTGTATTCTGAGGAAGTATTATTCTCTGAAGAGAAAAGTGCCTGGCTTTATTACGAACAAATTTGGATAACTGACCAGTAATGCTGATCAGTACTGACTTCTTCACTTTTGGACGAGCCAATTTCCTGTTACACTGTCCTCTCTGTTGGCTGTGTGCAAGACTGCTGTGGGCTGGGCATAAAGCCACAATTAGCCTCCTACTTCCATATGCTTGGGTTAACTGCAGATTCTTCGCTCCAGGCATCTTCTTTCAAGTCTCTGCATTTTAATTAGCAGCAACCAAAGGGATAACATGAGTGTACCAAATTGCAGTATCATGTTTTATGAGATAACCAAATATGATCTGGGTTATTCTGTATTAAATATCAGTCCCAAAAGAATTGTGAAAAAAAAATTCAGCAGCAACTTTCCTTTCAGTTCAGAATCGAGCATTTTATATATTAAGTTCCATGCAAATATACTCTTTCTGCTTCAATTCTATATTGGAAGGTCCTCTCTGTGGGAGGAGACTTCATGAACCTTGCCATGCCTCAAAGCTCTGCCTCAGAATGGGAGTGGTTACACTACAGCAACTTTACAAAAGGTCTGGTGTTACTTTCTCTAGTTCAGGGATAGGCAACTTTGGCTCTTTTATGACTTCCTGGCTCAGGAAGTCGGGAGCTGAAGTCCACGAGTCATAAAAGAGCCAAGGTTGCCTATCCCTGCTCTAGTTGAAGAACATTCTGAGGGAGAAGAAATTTCACTGAACACAGTTTTGTACTTTTTGGCTTTTGTACCATTATAAAAACTAATGGAAAAACCTCTCCAATTACTTATGCTCTCTTATAAATGCAATACCTACCTTATAATTCCTGCAGGAAGGACTGAAGGCATTTGTCCCACAAATAAATAACGTATCATCATCTCGTTTTAGAAGAACCTTTATAAAGTTATGACATTCATCCTGCCAAAAGGATTAAAAAAGGAAAACAACTGAACTACTATTTCAGCAATTAACATCATAAAAGTTGGATACAATTAAGTAAAATATACCAATTTGTTGGTTTCAGCAATTTTTCCTGCCATTTGGAAAACAAGGGAACAATGGATTTCCTCAGAGTGGCATTAAAGCAACATGGCTGTCAGGAATTTAAGGATTATACTTGTCTTTTTATACTGCTGTTTATTGGAGAAAATGTACTTTAATGACAGTCATGAATCACAAATAAGACCTTAGTATGTCTGTATGTATGTATACAATTTATACCCTGGTGCGTCCTAGGCAGTTTATAGATACAAAAACAACAATAATAAATAACATATTACATTTAGTCATTAAAAGTAAGAGAGGCTGTTTCAGATGAGGGAAAATACCACAGAAAACGCGGCTATTGCAGCAGGTGTAAGACACTGGAATACAGGTAGTCCTTGCTTAATGACCTGTTGCTTAGCAACCATTCAAAGTTACAAAGAACCCGCTAAAAAGTACTTATTTAATTTAGAATTGTTGCTGACCAGGCATAGACCTGAGGTTATTTGATCACATTTTGGGCACCTAGGGACTGGCTCACATTTATGGCCGTTTGCAGCATTCTACAATCACAGACATGATTTCTGACAATTTTTTTTTGCTGGTTTCTGATATTTACTTCCAGTTTTTATCAAAAAATATCCATTGGATGAAATGGACTTACTTAATTAGGGCAGCTTTTGCTTAATGGCTGCTGTAAAATAGGTGGTAAAGTCAGTGGTCACATGTCACAAAAAGGCATGTGGACACGCAGTGACCTACTTAATGACAGCAATTAGTTAACAACAATAATTCTGGATTGAATTACGGTTATTAATCAAGGACTTTGTGTACTAGGATTAGACTATAAACATGGCTGCATTTTGCATCGTGTGAAGTTTTGCGGACAGATCAATGTAGGGTTAAATACAGTAATCTAATCAGGAGCATGACTGATGGTTCTTGCACACTCTATCTCATGTACTGAACCATATCTGAGTAGAGTGGGGAAAAAAAATAAAGCCCAGAAAATACATCTGATGTAACTCATTCACAGTTAATCAAAATTTAAACTTCTAAAGATAAAAACTGTATTATATCAGCTCCTAGTAGAAAGTTAGCAGGGGTAGTAAGCTTCTTAATGCCTCTTCATTTCCCAGTAGTTGACATTTTTTGTTATAATATTTCATTACATTACAAGTAAACTATTTTTTGAAAAGTAAAACCTTCAATAAACTGTTGGGGGAAAAAACAATTATTAGCTAGGAAATAAATGGTATGATCCAATCTCCAACACAGAGAGCAGTGTAGGATAACAGGCAAGGAACTGAATAAAGTGGCATCTGCTGGAGAAATGAAATTTGCCTACCTTATGTTTTCCCTTCATTCTGCATGTATCTACATCAAGCTGTCTGGATTTCCATGTCAATTTCTTCAAGGATCAAGAAAGAAATCAATTAGCGCCTGGGGTGTTTGTATTTAATTTTAAAAGGAAAACTAGCTACTAAATATAAAATTCTCAAAAACATTCCATACTTATTCTATGCTTGACTTATTCTAGCACAGAAAACTTAGGGATATAGAACATTTAGTTAGAATTGACTGCTATTTAGTAATCTCAAATTATGTAATATTTTCTTTACTTGCAAGGGTGTTGGTTAACAGGCAAATATTACAAATCAACACATTATCTTTGTTTTTCTCTCGGACTATCTATCTATCTATCTATCCATCCATCCATCCATCCATCCATCCATCCATCCATCCATCTATCTGTCTTTGGTTATTCGGGGTTTCTCCCACGTAAAATTGGAAGTGTCTTGGCGACGTTTCGACAAAGTCCCATTCGTCATCTTCAGGCTGGTGTTTTCGGCTTCGTGCTTCTAGGAGCAATGTGTGATCATAGCTGTTTCTTCCTTTTAACTGCCAGTGGGGGTATGAACTGATTGGGTGGGAGCTTGGTTGTGTTTTGATTGGCTGGGGGAATGTTCTGTTTGGGTGGGGGCTTTGTTGTGCTTGGGTTAGTCTGAGTTGCAGGGGGATTTGAGGTGGTAAGCTGTGTTGCTGTTGTTTGGCTTCGCGTTCGTGGTCGTGCTCATCTTCATGGTGGGTGTCAATTTGCTTCATGTATGGATTGGAGGGGTTTAAAGTGGCTAATGATGCAGCTGTGGTCTGGTTTCTGGTCGTTTTATGAGAAAACCCAAATAACCAAAGACCACTTTCCCTCCCTCCCTCCCTCCCTCCCTCATATATATATATATATATATATATATATATATATATATTCAATAATGATGGTGAAAATGCGACTCCCGGGCATAATTATAAATGGAATGAATAAAGCGCGTTTATTCAATACCTGCTGAGGTATAACAATACCCCCTGAGGTCGACGGAAATGTGAACAAAAGTGCTCGAGAGAACGACAGAAGAAATCTTTACTCCGATTCCCCCCCCACCTATCAGCTGTTCAGCAGGGAATGCTAGCACAGTCTAGGAACCACGTGCAGACGTCTATGGAACCCGTTTGAATCACCTTGTTAGAAACGGTCTCTCAGCCCTGAAGATGTTGGGGAGTTTTCCCAACGAAAGCTTGGCAACCTTTTAATATAGTAAAATACTTTAATTGAAGTATTTTAACTTTAAACTCTCCTGGTGAACGCGCTTTATTCATTCCATATTATATATATATATATATATATATATATATATGTTTTCTGAGGTTTTCGCGGGTATTTGTATATAGGTCTTTGGTTGTTCGGGTTTTCTCCCGCGTAAAATTGGAAGTGTCTTGGCAACGTTTCGACGAAGTCACATTCGTCATCTTCAGGCTGGTGTTTTTAGCTTCTTGCTTTGAGCACACATTGCTGCTCAAAGCAAGAAGCTAAAAACACCAGCCTGAAGATGACGAATGTGACTTCGTCGAAACGTTGCCAAGACACTTCCAATTTTACGCGGGAGAAAACCCGAACAACCAAAGACCTATATATATATATATATTTATTTATTCTCCCGCGTAAAATTGGAAGTGTCTTGGCGATGTCTTGGCGACGTTTTGACAAAGTCCCATTCGTCATCTTCAGGCTGGTGTTTTCAGCTTCGTGCTTCGAGGATTTTTACGCGGGAGAAAACCCGAACAACCAAAGACCTACATACAAACACCCGCGAAAACCTCAGAAAACATATATATATAAAATTTGTGTCTGTGAATATATGGAGAGACAGAGAGAGAAAGATGGGTATGTGTATATAAATATGTCTGCACATATGCATGTGTATGTATATACTGTATGCATATACACACCTACACAAACAGACATATACATAAATAAACAGACATACAAATACAGGCATATAATTTTGTACCAGTAGAAGAGTAGAATTTATAGCTTACTGTTGTACTGTGGGCTCTATAGTGCTCTCTGAGCTTGGTGGTTTTCTTGCAGATGTTTCTTTACTAAACTAGGTAACATAATCAATGTTAAAAGGACTGTGGAGGTTACCTAGTTTTTCTAGCACTGATGTTGTCTGGTTTGATAGTGGAATGCCTGTAAGAATACGACCAAGCTCAGAAAGCATCACGGACCCCACATATAATCTTGTTCTGTTCTGTTTTAACAAAAATTAAAACACACTCATATACAGTAGATCAAATATACCCTGGTGTTTTTTTGGGGGGAAGTAGTGTTTAGTCAAATAAAATGTTTAGAGAAATAAGCACTATTGAGTTAGAAATGTTCTCCATTGATTCAAAGTTGTGCATAGCAGTCATTTGAGCTTATTCTGAATGACAAAGAAATATGCCCAGAGTTATCTCTTAATTCTAAGCTGGAGCCCAGTCTGACAGCTTCTGCCAGAGAACACGTTTGCATGTAAAAAATATCTACATTCCCAGGTAGTGTTGGAAGGACCACAGAGCCATTGCTAATCATTATAAATGATCCCAGCTAGAAGGCCAATGATTTTACTTGTCTAAGGCATTTTCAGTAGATTTTACCTATAAAAAGACTTTCATGAAACTCTAATAATGAGTGAAAAATTTGATGCACCTAGGCAAAATTGCAACAGACTATTTGTCAATGGATCCTGAATGAGGAAAAAACAATGAAGAATTGGATTTAAAAGTACCTACTGATGGTGTTTTGCCATCTTAGTGAAGAAATTGTATACCTTTGCCAATTGTCAGTTAAAAAAGAGAAGTATCTGAATTTCAGTTAAACTGAACATTTCATATACTGCTCTAATTTTCAGAAATGATATGTTTCAAGGCACAAGATCATCAAACATTTACAATAAATCTGAATATTTATTTTACATGGTTCTTGGTTCCAAGTCCAACAGAAAATGGGGAACAGAAGTAGGAAATACACTATTCTATGCAGATTTAGCTTCTCACAAAGACATGCATTCCTAGTCAAGCAAGCAGAGCAATGTTAAAAGCTTTTTTTTCACTGTTTTACGTATGCATTTTTCATTCGGAAGCCAATGCAAAACTTTTTTTTCATTTTTACTTAGGTTGTCTTTAAAAACCACTTAGATTTTGTATACTATTCTACCTGAAATATTTCAGCCCAGCTTATTTATTGCTCTGCTTGATTTTACCCCATGAAAACAATAGTTTTAAGTTACTTGCTCTTAAGGGAGAAACACTGAAAACTTGAGCTATTTATATACAATCTGAGTAGCTTGATGTAATGCTAAACAAATGATATATAACATGCATTAAAGCTAACAGTTATATTAGGATTCTGGACAGTATTTCCACCCATATCTATAATTCGGTGATTAAGCATTTTTGCAGTTAAATACTTTTCAATTTATTTATTTATTTATGAGACTTATATACCGCTTTAAGTGCAAGCACTCTCTAAGCAGTGTACACCAGTAAGCAATGTATATATATATTTACATTGCCCCCAACAATCTGGGTCCTCATTTTACCTACCTCGGAAGGATGGAAGGCTGAATCAACCTTGAGCCGGTGAGATTTGAACCGCTGACCTGCTGGACACAGTCAGCTAAAGTGGCCTGCAGTACTGCACTCTAACTGCTGTGCCACCTTGGCTCTTGTAATGATACTGCATCATTGTTCTTTCCCCTCAGCTGTGTTATCTTATACTTTAGCTGTATCATCTGTCTTGAGTATGATGTACTAGATGATATCTAGGATACTAGAAGTGTTCAAGTGCTGAAATGAATGGAATTTTTCAGCCCTTCCTTAACTATGACACATATACATATCCTATTAATTTTGGAATATTTAATGCAGTACTAACAGAACAAAATATTGTGGCAGCCTTCTAAGTTTTATCTATACTCTTGAGTATCTGTAGTCTTGAGGAAAAATTATAAAAATCATAAAATTATTGTGTTTATTATCTATATGTCTATATATCTATTTAATTCCTTAGAAAAATGTGACCATTAAACTATTTAAATAGAGTTTGTTGAGTAACTAATATTTATTATAATATCACAGAAGTCAGTCAAAACTACATGACAAGTAAAAATGTTGGAATGTACCTCTATTGTAATGCAAAAATCGTGCTTATAATTTCAGCTAAGTTACTTACTCAAAGTACATAACGAAAATGGCAAATGTATGCACTTCGCTTATATGATAACTTTGAAACTTTTACAATGATAATTTTAAAACAGGTCTGGAAAACCTGAGGAGCAAGAGTATTTTTTCTTATTTATTTTCTACTTTTTATTTTTATTGTTCTTGATTTGTGAATAGCAGAAACTACTTACTTTGCTAAAATAAATCTCTTCTGTATGTGATGAATCCATATCAACAGTATAAATATGGTCCCTGTAAACAAAGGGGAAAAAAGAATGCCAAGATAAACTCAGATGGTTCATATTTCACAGGAAGAGTGGTTTGTGTTCAAATAAATCATTGTCCCTTAGCCAGGAACTAAGGATAATATCAAAGAATACTAGGCAACATATCTTATGCTTTCTTTGTGTAACAGAAGATAAACAATCAATACAAATTCAACATGAACAATTCTTTCAATATGTGCTATGAATGAACAAAAGGTATAAAAAGGAATTAACTGAGAAGAAAGAGGTTCCCTATAATCATTTTGGTATAGATAATGTTTTATATATATTTGCAATTACAGAACAAGTCAACCTGAAAGATTGCAGATTGGGATATATTGTAAGATAACTGTAAGGTTTGCACAATTTGGAAAATATTTGACTCCTATAATCCTTTAACAATCTTATCATTGTTAAAAAAATCTGTGACAGATATTTCTATTAAGAATTGTGGCTCCTAATACAAAAACACATACCTGGACTGAACATATATTCATGGACATTTTGATCTTTAACTTAATTTCTCATTATTTTGCATTATAGTCTAGTAAGATTTTAGTAGGTGGCAGATGCAAGTAATCTTGTCCAAGCCTAAAAGGTAAGCAAGTTTAGGACTGGTTAGACTTTGGATGGGAGAACAACATGAAATTCCGGGCATGTCAGCTAAACTTAAAAGTAATAAAATAAATAAGATCATGGACAAACAATCTGCAGTTGACCCTTGGAACCCATTACCAAAGCTCACTGGAGAAGTACCATCAGACAGAATGCTAAAAGATAGCAATAGAGCCTTCACAACAATCCTTTCTACCACCATAATACAGCCATTCAGTTTGTATATGCTATAGCTCCCATAATCCTAGAGATGCTTAGCTATATGATAAAAAGAACAGCAGTACATACCAGTCCCCCCCCCATTCCAGATAATGAAGTTGGAGGTCAAGATCGAGACAACTTGGAGAGAGGTTAGTTAAGTTGTGGAACTACAGAAGGGTGTTGGGATTAAGAAAAAGAACTGGCTACCGAAAAAAAAAGGGGCCTAACTCCATCTGAAGCCCTGTAGACTTCTAAACAAAGGCTCACAGTCCTGGCTACAAGGCTAAGGAGATGCACTAGAGAAGCACAGGCCAAGAAGATAATGCCCTGTTCACAAAGGGTACTTCCAATTGTAGGGCAACAACAGAGTAATAGCACAGTCACCAACAGCAGAAACTGAACAATACTGGAAAAACATATGGGAGAAACAGAAGACACATAACACTATAAAACGATGTGTGTTGAAGGGCATCCTTTCCTTTTTCACAAGCAGAAATATACAGTAAAACATTTTGGTACAAGTAGAACTTTGAACTTTGTATCATTTGCCTGTCCCAATAAATCACACGGGTCACACAGATGTTTATTTTTCTTCAAATGCTTAAAGGTCTATTCTCACGTCTTTTGGGTGGCATTCAATGAGCCTGAAGTGCTCAACAGTATATGCAATGCTAATGTGGTGTTGTTTTTAAACATTATTTCTCCACGTTCAACAGAAGTGTGGCTTGATTTATAATATAAACAGGGAGAAAAGCACACAACATCTTTGTTTGGTTTTTGTTTTGTTAAATAAATAGTTAAGTTAGAAAACAGTTAAGTTATGAAGGTAAGACTTATTTTAATGTAAGATGTTTGTGTTCCCCTTTTTTCTTTCTTTGAGAGTTCAGAATTAATAAATTAATAAACTTAGTTGCCACTTTCTCCTTAGAGACAAATTAAGGTCAAGGAACACAGATATGATATTCTTCTACACCAGAGGTCCCCAACCAGAGACCGAGAGAGATTTTTCTGCCAACTAGAGGGTGCATGGTTTCATGTACTGCCTGTATCCCGTGGATGGGGCTTTGCTTGTTTGTGCAGACCAGTTTCTGGCATGCCACGGCCTGGTGCTGGTCCATGGACTGGGGGTTGGGGATCTCTGTTCTACACCCTCTTAAACAATGTGAAAAACAAGGGAAATATCATTTTATAAGATAGGAGACAGAATCAGTATAATCAAATCGTAAATGATTGACTATGAATTTGGAGCAAATAGGAGGATGAGATTGATTAAAAAAGAATAAATCTGTAAAGAGTGGTCTTTCAAATAACATTAATTCTCCCCCTACTTCTTATGCACAATAGGTCTGCTATTGAAATTGGTATCTGCTATTTTAAAATAGTCCAGTATATATAATGAAATATCTTCTATTCATACTAGCTTTTTCAAATCTATATGGAAGAAGCAAGGTTAGTTTCTAACTAAAGCTAATTCAAAACATTTCCAGCAAGCCAAAATACAAACAACATTTTCCCACAGGGAGAAAAGGCGTTTGTTTATTAACAAAATCAGGTTTTCATAAGTTTTTCCTGAATTTCCTCCCCTTTGAAAGCAGCTTTCTTTCTAAGATGCCATACCAAGAAAGGTGTGGCTCTATTTATTTTTATATTCTTTAATCTTCTGTAAAAACTGCCATTTACTTTTATGACGGGTTTAATGCTTATTATTTCCTTGACTCCACTGGAAGAACTTTGATCCAAAGTTAATACAGAGCTACTCTTTTGTTTTGTCCTCTTTCTGCAGATTTTCATTGTAAAGCTCTGGCAAAATAAACCAGTAAGTTAAAAACAAAAATATGCATTTCAATGGCAAATTAATAAGTGATTATTTATCCTTGGGAATATCTAAAAAATGTTCCATTTACCCTCAGTTATATGTTTTGTATATAGTGACTGCCAGAAAAAAAAAGAAAACGTTAAGAGTCAGCACAGCTTTGTATTTCACTCCCTTCTAACTGAGGAACCCTATAATGCAGTGGCTCCCAACCTTTTCTACACCCTGCATCCCTACAACGCTTCTGATATATTCTCGCACAAAAGTTCAAAATAACGGCAACAAATTTTGCATGTACACTATAATTTTGAAAATCCAAGTTTTCACACTACCTGGAATATCGTCTCACACCCCCAGGGGGTACGAGTACCCCAAGTTGGGAACCCCTACTATAATGACTTATGACAAATTTGCCAGTCAATTGTCAGAAAAAGGAAACGCCAGAATGATGGACCTATGTGGGCTCTGATTTCCACATAAGTTAAAAAAAATGTTTCCATACATGTTACTTGATCCACAGTTGTTTCCATATAAGAACTGCCAAGTACCAAAAGGGTCTGCTAAACTGAAGATATAAATCTGTGCTGTTATGTTTTATGCTGATTGTCTCTGTCATCCCGATCTTGCTAATTCATTTTTTTACACAAATAAACCAATTATAGCACTTCTGTTTTTCCCAGTTAACAGTGCCACAGATGTCATTATGGCACACTTGTACAGGGGAATAAAATATAAATAATGCTGCCTCTTTCTGACCCATGGCCACAGCTATGGGCATTAAATGCAAGTTATGATTCTGGTGTGCACCTGGAAGATATGAAAATTACCAAAAGATGTAGTGGAACAGAAAATGGCAAAATGAACACCTAAAAAATTAAGTGTATTTGTGAAGATGGCAAGAAGAAAGAAAAAAATCAATCTTCTCATGTAGCTATTATAGGAAGCATTATTTAATTATTCAAATTCTGCTTGTCTTTCATGTACTATTCTCTTCAACACTTGCCTCATATCAGCAAGATGATCTAACTTTCTTATGACATTTTTTTTAGCAATAGAGTCCTAAAGTATATAACAAGATTTCTGCCTGACCCTTGAGAGTTCAGATCACAATACTTTAGTAAAGCTAACCACCCAGGGATCTATGCAGTTTATACTTAATGACATAAGTGCTCCAAGGATTCACTGCTACTTAGAGCAGAGGTCCCCAACCCTTTTGAACACCAGGGACCGGTTCTGTGGAGAGAGGTTTTTCCAGAGGGGGTGTGGTTTCATGTACTGCATCCTGCGGATGGGGCTTTGCTTGTTTGCATGGCTCGGTTTCTGGCATGCTGCAGCCCAGTGCTGGTCCACAGACTGGGGGTTGGGGAACCCTGCTTTAGGAAATTTCATGTGGGAACTATTAGTTTGTGTTACTAGCTTGGAGAAAGACACATTTATTGGAATTTCTTTAAGCTAGTTGGAGTTTCTCCAAATGTTATACTGTACTTACAGAATTAACAATGCTCGCTTTAAGCCAGATTGCAACACAATCCAGCATCCTAGTATATAAAGCACTGTAGGGGGTAAATGTATACGGGACACAGCTAGGGTTTTATTGTATATGCAAACCCCAAAGCTGAGAAAGAATGTCTTGCCTTCAAAAATAATGAACAAGGAAGGAAATAATTGAAGTTTATGTCTGTTGAAAACAAATTATGCATAAATTACCAAAGGACTAAACAGGGAAAACTGGAACTTTGTGGATGCTTGGTTCTTATCAGTTTCTGTCCAATTAAAAAACGAAAGAGGAAAGTTTATGTAAGATTCTGGGAACAGTTATAATCAGTATAATATAATCAGAGTTTTTATGGATAATAACTGAGTCACACAAACCACTTTACATTTTGATGGCGAATCAGATACTATTCTGATGCTGTTGAATTGCAAATTATATCAATGCTTATCAGTATCAATAGCTCAGCAATGGGTTCCCATTCCTGACCTATTACTGGGCGAAACAAAGACTTTCAAACATTTTGTCCAAGAAACACTTTCCATATTATGTAGTCTTGATTATCATCTGTCTGCTCCCGCATACTGCTGAAGATTTTGTCATTTATTCTAAATTCATTCATGAAACGGGCTGATCCTTTGTGCCCTTCCCTTAAGTTGGAGTAGGGTGCTAATTAACAATGATTACATAACTTTCTGCATCTGCACAGGGTAAAAATTAATATTTAACATGATATTTATCCTCAATAGATTATCCTTCCATTCTGCAAGTCCAATAAGCTGTTAAGCAGCCTCAGGGTTTGTAACTGAATGCAAACAAACAAAACCTACTATGTTAGATTATTTCTTCCTTGGTCTAGCAGGGA